TCCCAGCTTTTTCTGCTTGAAACCACAGATCAGAGTGTCTGAAAACTCACATGTAAGTTGCGCTCAGGTGAATAGGATAATAGCCTTATTGTCAAACTACATGTCATGTCTTAATGTGTAGCGTTCAGCCTGCCTCCATGTACATATTTCTATCTCTCTATCTATATAAATAGAAATGGGAGGATTCCTTTCTGGACCACAACATGGCAGGGAAGGGAAGTTGATCTTCACTCTCACCCCAACCTGCAGGTGCAGTCAGGGTGAAAGTCACACATATACAGAGGTGGAAGAAAAGCTACCTTTGTGAGAATTATTTCTGAAACGTCTTAGCTGCTCATCATGATAACTAGCTAGGGAGGAGAGATACCCCACAACCCACTTTGGTCCAGATAAAAATAACCCTCAAACACCTGTAATTAAAGAAAGACCAGGAATGTAATTGCATTAAATTGCATTAAATGTCGTGAGTCGTTTGACACACACAGTAATATTATGGCAAAGACGAACTTCTCCTGGGGTCTAAAATATGGAAGCAATTGAATGATGGCGGCAGCTGGAGGGCGAATTCTGACATTCTCACATAGTTCTGAAGAAATGAGAACAATTGTCAGAGAGAATCAGCAAGGCAAGATCCAATTTGAGGTTTCAGAAAGTGAGTGCTGTGCACTGACAAGGAATATTAATGTGGATGTGAAAGAAGTGTTTACAGTCAACTTAATTTAATTGTGAGTGAAGCACCAGTGAGGCAGGTGGTAATGGAAGAGTTCATTTCTGAAATTCCATCAGTTCAGTTTGGCATATTCTTTGCACCATAGCACATTAACTATTTGGGTCTCGTGCCTAGGTCTCTACCATTCTTAACCTTCAAATACCTCATTTAGCTCCATAGGCTTGTTCATACATGATGACAATCCCAAAATGAACACCTTGAGAAAGTGTGGAACTGTTATGGGGTTCCATGTTGGGTAATTCCCAATGGGACACATCCCATTGGGTAATCTGTTTGATACTGAAGTTGAAATGATATAGAGAGAGCATGAACAGCATGCTCATCATTTCAACTTCTATATCAAAGAGAATATACCCAGTATGTCAACTGCTGAACTGCTATATTTCCTAAAAATAAATTAAGATGCATTTTTGTACAGACACACAACAGTTTTTGTTCTGCCCTGTACCACAGTAAAATACTGATTCAAGTCTAAGTCCTACTTAGATCAGTGGAACTTCCTCACAGGAAAGTAGGTGTAAGATTGCAGCCTCAGAATACCTGTGCAGTACTACTTCTTTAGCTCTAGTTTGGAATGTGTCAAGGCAATCCCAGATCACTCCAGGCTGGTTCCACCTGGAGTCATCTATGGCTACCAAAGAGGGAGGAGAGACTTTTGCCTACACCATCTCCTACACCCCCCAGACTCACCATCAACCACATATTTAATTTGGGTTTAAAGCTCTGTTTCAACATGCATGTTGGGTGGAGTAGGCAGATGATGCCACCTACTGCATGTTTAATTGGGGTTTAGAATCATAGAATCATAGAGTTGGAAGAGACCACAAGGGCCATCGAGTCCAACCCCCTGCCAAGCAGGAAACACCATCAGAGCACTCCTGACATATGGTTGTCAAGCCTCTGCTTAAAGACCTCCAAAGAAGGAGACTCCACCACACTCCTTGGCAGCAAATTCCACTGTCGAACAGCTCTTACTGTCAGGAAGTTCTTCCTAATGTTTAGGTGGAATCTTCTTTCTTGTAGTTTGGATCCATTGCTCCGTGTCCGCTTCTCTGGAGCAGCAGAAAACAACCTTTCTCCCTCCTCTATGTGACATCCTTTTATATATTTGAACATGGCTATCATATCACCCCTTAACCTCCTCTTCTCCAGGCTAAACATGCCCAGCTCTCTTAGCCGTTCCTCATAAGGCATCGTTTCCAGGCCTTTGACCATTTTGGTTGCCCTCCTCTGGACACGTTCCAGTTTGTCAATGTTTGAAATATTCATTTTATATTGGGGACTGTGCAAGTCCCCCTATTTATTTCAAGCCTCTCATCAAGATCAGGCTGGGTCAAGAGCAGTTCAGGTCTGACTGGGGCCTAACTGGGATCACCAAATTGGGTCCCACATTGAGTCAGAAGTGGTCCGCACAGCCCTACTTCACATGTTCAATCTGTGCCACCAATGCATGGGTTATAGAAATGAATATTTTCTCTTATATGAGACCCAGTCTCTTCTGCTCCTTCATCTAACTGATGCTTACAGATTCAGTAGCAGTCGAGTTAGATTACTATAAAGTGAATGAAGAAGAAAAAATAAAACTGGTATAAGATGAATTCAGTGGGGCAAATGTCATTCTCACTCTACCAACACAACTTCCACACATGGCTAATTTTCTTCTCTGTTCCTTGTTTGAGCTTTTCTATACAATTCCCCACCCCACTGCTGAAGGCAAAACAATAATGTTTTTCTTAGGTCCAACTTTAAAATATAAAATGAAAGTGACAGGTGTAAGATTACTACGAGTCTGGGAGAATTAGCCTGAACAGATTTGTTTGTAAGAAGATGGATGATAAGTACCTTGAAATCCCATTATCACTCCAATAGTCATAACCTGCAGAAACATCATTTATTGATGCAGCCTTCCTTAGAGGCTTTGAAATATTTGCATGGCTAGCAGTTGTGAATGAAAATGTATTATGATTTCACCAACCCATGCTCACACCTGTTTAGTAGCCAGTTTGGGGCTTTGTTTTCCATCCTCCTGATTTTATCAGTGCTCTTATTTTTATCACCATCTCATCTAAATGCACAGTTGACTGTGCAGTAAAGTCCCATGTGGATCAAATGAGACTTAACTATAGTTATTTATTTCCTTTCTTCCCTGCCTTCCTCAAGATTGTGGACTCAAGGGAAGTTATAAATTCAGTACAGTGGTACCTCTGGTTAAGAACTTAATTCGTTTTGAAGGTCTGTTCTTAACCTGAAACTGTTCTTAATATGAGGTACCACTTTAGCTAATGAGGCCTCCGGCTGCAGCCACCGCACAATTTCTGTTCTCATCCTGAAGCAAAGTTCTTAACCCGAGGTACTATTTCTGGGTTAGCAGAGTCTGTAACCTGAAATGTCTGTAACCCGAGGTACCACTGTAATGTAATCCATCAGTTTATATAGTACAGTGGTGCCTCGCAAGACAAAATTAATTCGTTCTGCGAGTTTTTTCGTCTTGCGAAGCACGGTTTCCCATAGGAATGCATTGAAAATCCAAAAGGAAACAAACTTGTAAGACGTTTCCGTCTTGCGAAGCAAGCTCATAGGGAAATTCGTCTTGCGAAGCAACTCAAAAAACGAAAAACTCTTTCGTCTTGCAAGTTTTTCGTCTTGCGAGGCATTCGTCTTGCGAGGTACCACTGTAAACAAAAACAATCACTGACGAAACCATCGTAAAAAGACATTGCAGCAACACAAATTAAAGCCATCCTTCACCCTGCTCCAAACACTTTCTGGGGGAGAAAAGGAAGCATCCATGTCATTCCAGGTGGTTTTTAAAGAGTGAATCACATTGACCTGAGAAAGTGAGTTCAATAACTGTTGAGTCACCACAGATAAGATCATACTCTTGGAAGCAATCAACTTAACTTCAAAAAGGGATGCTTCAAGGAATACGCTTCTCCTAAAAGATCCAGGGAGACTAGGATATTCATATGACACAGAACTTTTTCCTGGAGAGCATAGCTAGATAGTTTTCTCCCCACATCTCCTCACTGGCCCTTATGCTGTAGGAGGTAATTGCCAGTGGTCTTGTTATTGCCAATAGAAGGGGAATGTTAAGGAACATACCTTGTACATGGACTGAGGAAAATGGTTAGAGGAAACCACATTTGGCTTGTTGGCTAGTTTCATTTAAACATAAATAAAAGGTGCTTGCTTTACCCAAACCTCCACTTTAATGAGACTTGATTTCCTTGTGAAGGAGGCTCCCACACACCCCTGTCACATTGAAAGCAAGGTACGCACAACAAAAACCCCACCCATGACTATTTTGTATTTTCTCTCTGTGTGCTTTGATAATTTCCAAGTGAAATTTCTTTCCCCATTAATTGATGAAGAATGGGGAAAGCATGGATTAAATTTTCAGCACAGTACTGTAGAAAATGCCTCATGGGGCATTAGAACTCCTGCCAGATCAGCTAATAAACAAGAGGATTTTGCAGTACAAAAACCTCCTACTTTGTGCTTCTTGTTGTTGTTTTGGAAGCCCAGCAAAGCATTCTGGTATTTGAGGCAACTAGGGACGGGCAATTCTGTCAATTTCAGTTTCTCTATTTTCCAATCTAAAGTTCAATTCTTCACATTTTCTTTTTTTAAAAAAGCTCATCAAAATTCATCATCAAATTTATCCTGGTCTACACATTTTTACATGCAACTTTTCCTAATCTACACAAATATAATGCATTTTTATTTGTGGTGTTTTCAAGAAGTTATACATCACTGTACCCACTTCATCCTCGTATATGCATTTTTGTGCACATTCTTTGACTGAATGGACTACATTGCAAAATTCAGAGAAGTGCAAATTTTGAAGGGTGTCTGTAATTCAGTTCAGTTTCATGTATTGTTCCGGGAAGCAGGCCCACCCTTAAATATGAACTGAAAGATATCCTCCTCCTCTGCCACCAGCCCGGGCAACAAGAAAACCATTCTATGAGCTCCATGTAGGATTCCCTGTGCCCAAGGAATGTTTGTGATGCTTTCAGAAATCGTTTCATTTTCCTCAGCTGCTTTGCCTGAGGTGGAACCCAGAGATTTGTCTTTAGTTTCACCAAATACAGATCTACCAGTTGCCAAGGCTGCTGTTCTACACTGAAGCTCTTCTTAAAAAATATCTTGAACAGGAAATCTACAAGCCATTACAAAGGCCATTTTACTGCTGAGAGGTATATGGACCTCCCCTGCCAACTTAGCAGTTCAAAAGCACACCAGTGCAAGTAGATAAATAGGTACTGCTGTGGCAGGAAGGTAAATGGCATTTCGTGTGCTATGGTTTTTGTCACGGTGTTCCATTGCACCAGAAGTGATTTCGTCTAAGCTGGAAAGCTGTTTGTGATCAAACGTCAGCTCCCTTGGCCTGAAAGCGAGATTAATAATAATAATAATAATAATAATAACAATTTATTACAGTGGTGCCCCACAAGACGAATGCCTCGCAAGACGAAAAACTCGCTAGACGAAAGAGTTTTCCTTTTTTTGAGTCGTTCCGCAAGACAAATTTCCCTATGGGCTTGCTTCGCAAGACGAAACGTCTTGCGAGTTCTTGCAAGTTTGTTTCCTTTTTCTTAAAGCCGCTAAGCCGTTAATAGCCGCTAAGCCGCTAAGCTGCTAATAGCCGCTAAGCCGCTAAGCCGCTAATAGCCATGCTTCGCAAGACGAAAAAACCGCAAGACGAAGAGACTCGCGGAACGGATTAATTTCGTCTTGCGAGGCACCACTGTATTTGTACCCCGCCCATCTGGCTGGGTTTCCCCAGCCACTCTGGGCAGCTTCCAACAAAGATTAAAAATACATTAAAATGTCACACATTAAAAACTTCCCTGAACAGGGGTCCCTTCAGATGTCTTCTAAATGAGCACCGCAACCCCATAGTCGCCTTTGACTGGACTTAAGCGTCCAGGGGTCCTTTACCTTTTTTACATGCACCTAGAAGGAGCATGTCTGTGAGGGCTCAAGAAGCTGTGTGGCAGTAGAATAGTGGGTGGAAGATTTTTAAACAAAGCTTCCCCTTGAGATTTTGACATGTCTCGGAGAATCACGAACCACTTTGCTCTTGATCTATTCGTAACTGTGAACTAACTCTGCAGTTTAATTAGCTGCGAAAAAGTACCAAATCTTCCCTGAAGCTAAGGAAGATGCAGAACATCCTCCAGCCTCAACTTCACCAACTTTGGTGACGTGGAAGGCACTCATTGGAAGCATCGCAGGGGCCGAAAAGCAGATCCGTTGATTATCAGCACAGGGATTCCTTTTTTAAGAAAATCTTGTGAAATCATCCTGAAATTGCAGGGGCTGCAGGAAACTGGCGTGAATCACAGAAAAGAGATGCTGTGCAAGATGAATGGATTTATGATGTTTTCCTTTGTGCGTCTTACTGCTCCGATTCACCTGGATATCTCCATCGCTGTTCAAATCACAGCTTATGCTTGGTCTTAGCCAATGGTAATGTAACAGCCCCGTTAAATTGCTTTGGTCATGTATTTAAGGAAAAGAAATAAAGTGGTCAATTAATGAGCTGGGACTAAACAGTTCTGCAGCACATCCCCTCTAGATTTGTATTAATGCAGATCCAAATTAGGGGCAGGGATGAGGGGAATATTGTCAGTTTCTATTAATCCCCATTGTCCTAGCCACTGTTCTCCAGTGCCATGAAACTTCACTTGTGCAGGCTTTAAAAAAATGAGGGTTAGGGGAAATGACCAAATGTGAGTGTAAAGCACCTGCTTTGCATACAAGAAGCTCCAAGTGCAATCCAAAGTATCTCCAATTAAAAGGATTCAGGTACCAAAGTAAGAAAAAGGAAGAGGTCATAGACCCTGAAGAGTCACTGCACCAACCCCAATGTATTTGTTGTACCTGGTGAAAGATATACACCTCCCAGACTAATCTGTAGATCTGAATTTAACCAATCCACCATGCAGTGACCAATTTGCATTCTTTTACGCATCTTTATTTCCACTTACTTCCTACAACATAGTAAAGGAAATGATGTTGTAAATATGACACCATTTGTTGCTGTTCTTTAGTCGTTTAGTCGTGTCTGACTCTTTGTGACCCCATGAACCAGAGCATGCCAGGCACTCCTGTGTTCCACTGCCTCCCGCAGTTTGGTCAGACTCATGTTAGTAGCTTTGAGTACACTGTCCAACCATTTCATCCTCTGTCGTCCTCTTCTCCTTGTGCCCTCAATCTTTCCCAACATCACAGTCATTTCCAGGGAGTATTATCTTCTCACAAGGTGGCCAAAATATTGGAGCATCTGTTTCATGATCTGTCCTTCCAATGAGCATTCAGGGCTGATTTCCTTAAGAATGGATTGGTTTGAAGTTCTTGAAGTCCATGGGACTCTCAAGAGTCTCCTCCAGCATCATTCAAAAGCATAAATTCAAAAGCATCAGTTCTTTGGCGATCAGCCTTCTTTATGGTCCAGCTCTTACTTCCATACATCACTACTGGGAAAACCATAGCTTTAACTCTATGGACTTTTGCCAGCAAAGTGATGTCTCTGCTTTTTAAGATGCTGTCTAGGTTTGTCATTGCTTTTCTCCCAAGAAGCAGGCGTCTTTTAATTTCATGACTGCTGTCACCATCTGCAGTGATCATGGAGCCCAAGAAAGTAAAATCTCTCACTGCCTCCATTTCTTCCCCTTCTATTTGCCAGGAGGTGATGGGACCAGTGGCCATGATCTTGGTTTTTTTGATGTTGAACTTCAGACCATATTTTGTTTTTGTCCACTGAATTTTCTTGGCAGGGATACTTGTGCGGCTTGCTGGTTGCTGCTCCAGGTGGATCATAATTAGTCAAAACTCTCCACTATGACCTGTCCATCTTGGGTGGCCCTGCACGGCATAGCTCATAGCTTCTCTGAGTTATTCAAGCCCCTTCGCCTTGACAAGGCAGTGATCCATGAAGAAGAAATATGACACCATAGTAATATTCAAATTACACACAGGGTTCATCCAAGTGCAGGAAAACCCCTCGCCTCCAGCATGACTGCCAGATCCTGGGGAGGCGTTGTCGCTGTCCTGCAACAGTGCCCAAGCGGGTGGTAAGCATCATTACACAACAGGTGAAACATGTTTCAGTGGTTTTCCAAAAGTAATAATAATAATAATAATTTATTATTTGTATCCTGCTCATCTGGCTGGGTTTCCCCAGCCACTCTGGGTGGCTTCCAACAAAGATTAAATATACATTAAAATGTCACACATTAGAAACTTCCCTGAACAGGGCTGCCTTCAGATGTCTTCTAAATATCAGGTAGTTTTTTATCTATTTGACATCTGATGGGAGGGCATTCCACAGGGCGGGCGCCACTACCGAGAAGGCCCTCTGTCTGGTTCCCTGTAACCTCACTTCTCACAGTGAGGGAACTGCCAGAAGGCCCTCGGAGATGGACCTCAGTGTCCGGGCAGAACGATGGGGGTGGAGATGCTCCTTCAGGTATACTGGGCCTAGGCTGTTTAGGGCTTTAAAGGTCAGTACCAACACTTTGAATTGTGCTCGGAAACGTACTGGGAGCCAATGTAGGTCTTTCAAGACTCGTGTTATGTGGTCTGGGCGGCCACTCCCAGTCACCAGTCTAGCTGCCACATTCTGGATGAGTTGTTGTTTCCAGGTCACCTTCAAAAGTAGCCCCACAGAGAGCGCATTGCAGTAGTCCAAGCGGGAGATAAGCTGAGTAGGCTCCACTCTGGCGAGGCAGTCTGCGGGCAGGGTGGGTCTCAGCCTGCGTACCAGATGGAGCTGGTAGACAGCTGCCCTGGATACAGAATTGTTTCTTGGAATTGTTTCCTGGATACAGAAAGTTTCCTCTTTTTATGCTTCCACTGCCTCCTTATTTTTATTCAATGCCTCCCAATTGCAACTGAGGCTAATACTGCTCCCCAAGGTGGTGGTATTGCCCATTTTGGGAAACACTGGCCCATACCTGCATAGTACCTAATTTTTGGAATGTTGGTGTGCTTGTGCATTCTTATGGTCACTTTGAATAAGACCTGTCATTGAAGATTGAAGCTGGAGTGGGCCAGGGGGAGTTTGGAGCTGAGGAGGTTCTTAACTTTGAAGAGACCTGGAAACATGCCTTTAAATACTTTTTGGATTATATCGATGACTGTGGGGGGTGGGTCTGTGGGGAATGGGCGGGTTTGATGAAGAGAGATGGAGACAATTTTGTTTGTTTTTTTTAGAATTGATATTTATTAAATTTTCAAAAAGTAACAAGTAACAACAAAAATTTCCAAAAAAGTTTGAAAATACAAATAAAACAAAAATAATACAGAAATAATAAAAAAGAAAAAACCCAGCCGCAAAAAAGAAAAAAAGAAAAACAGAAAAACAGAAATATAAAATCCTTTACGATCTCCATTAACTTCCTTTCTAGACTTCCTCCTCCTTCCCTCTCTTGTTTCTTAGTATTTAATTTTTACAGCAAATCCTTTCTGTTTTTTCATAACAATCTATCATTGCGTTTCCTTATTCTATTTTCCCTCTTGTCATATAAAAACTTTAAAACTCAAAGCTTATATTCAATATTTAGCAAATTCTTACATCATTACCTATTTTCAAATCATTTACCAATCATTACTAAAGACATATAATTTAATTCAACATCCTTCAAACATTTATAAACATTCACAATATTAAAAATAAGAAAGCAAAAACAATAAGTCAGATTCAATCCAGTCAACTTCCAGCCTCCCTCCCCTGGACCCGGGATTGTCAGTCCTTTTAACCTCAATAATCCAGCTCCTTAACCTGGTTGTCTCGTATCCGAGGCCCTCAAGTCTCTTTCTTGCCCCTTTCGCCACTCTTGTTGATATTTCCCTTTCAGTCGTGGATACTCCAGCAAGAAGATGCTTTTGACTCTTTGCAGCAAGTCCATCCCAAACCCATTACCCAAGCCAGACAGCAGATAATACCACTTCCAATTTCCACAAAACTTGGAGACTTCGACTACTCCATTCCTCTGATGGCCCATCACTAGACTCGGAAAGTCCAAATAACCATATAGAGGGGTATCAATCCATCCCCCCATTTCCAAATCTGACCACATTTCATCTTTCCGAATCAGGTTTGTCCCAAGTTCATTTATCAAGTTCAAAGACTGATCTTGCCCATCCATAGGTCCCTCCATCTCTGAAGCCTCCGTCGCTACAGCAGGTTCATATACTTGTATAGACTTTAACTGAATTTCATTTGTTTGCTGCTGTGCTCTGGTAACTTCCGTCCTCATCAAGGTCGACTCCTGACGCATCTGGTCCAGCTGGGCACTTAATTTTGCAAAACCTTCCAGGAACACTTGTTCAAGCCTTTGTACAAGCATTGTCCTTCAAGGTCAGAAAAAATTCTTTCCCACGAGAATGATCCTTCTCTTTTAAACTCTCTGCATTGCAATTTCACTCAGTTCCACTAGATGGAAAACCCTTTTTTTTTTTTTTTTTAAGAGGGGGAAAAACAACAGTAACAATCTTTCTTTTTCCAGAAACACTTTATCCAAAATTCCCCCTTTCAAATTCAAGAGGCAACAGTAGAATCAAAATGTTACCCTTCTTTTAACTATCTGTCGAGCTGGATAAGCTTCAAAACGTCAGTTCTGACAGCCCGCTCCTGGTTCAGGGCGGTGGAAAATTACTTTATTTTAAACTCACTTCCGCAGGGTTGAAAAGATCAAAACAACCCCTTCTTCTCCTGCAATCAAAGGGGTTTCAGAAATCTTAGATGTTGAATTTTAGTTCTCTCAGAATTTAGTTTTCAGGCTTTAGTATAATTTGTCTTTGCTTTCTTCACGTAACAAAAGAACGGAAGGCGACTTCCTGTTTAGACCTTTCCGTTCCGAGTCCCAATTAAATTCAATTTCAAGTTCAAGTCTACCGGGCTCCTGTACAAGGGGAGAGAGCGCTCTCGGTGCCCGCCGAGTCCCACGCCCACAGGCTTCTTCCGCCTGTGGTTTTTAAGGGTCCCCGCTGCGCCGTAGCGGCAGGACCCAAGCCTCCGTGCAGCGGGTTCCCTTCAGTTCGAAGGGAATTCCGCCATTTTCCGGAGGCGCCACCCCGGAAGTCCGAGATGGAGACAATTTTGGGTTGGAATTCCCCAGGGACCTACTCCTCAATGAGAAAGGAAAGAAATTAAGAAAGAGACCAACAAAAGACAAGGAAAAGGGCAAGTATAAACAAGAAGAAGAAGAACTGCAGAAGGGACATGGAAGAGACTTAAGGGCCTCGGACATAAGGCTTCCAGGTTGATGGACTAGATGGAATAGACAGTAAGGACTGACACGATCCAAGACCAGGAAGAAGAGACGTTGGATGAAGATTGGAAAAAATTATAAATAAAAACTTTCTATTTAGGGAATTAGCTTAAAATTAATGAATATTAGGGAAAATGTTGGAATGAAACTATATGACTCTAGCAGAAATGATATCAGGAGTTATGTATATTTGAAAACTAAGACTTAAGCTTTAAGGTATTTTAGGGTAAGATAAGGTTAAATAAACTAAGGTAATTTGAATAACAGAATATGGGGAAAGATGGAAAGGATTTGTTGAGCTAATTATTAGGTTAAATTGTTAAGATAAATTTTGTAACAAAAATTGAGAAAGATGGAAAGAATTTGCTGAAATAACTAATTGAACTAGAATGCAAGAAGGGAGGTGTGAGGAGGTCAATGAAACAAGCAAATGGAAGTTATAGATATGTAATTTGGGATTTGTGGGTTTTTTTTGTCTTCCTTTCTCTCTTGCAAGGAGATGTGGGATCCTTGCAGACTGGAAGGAGAGCATAAATTTCCTTGGCCAGGGCGTGGCAATTAGGGGTACTACAGATATAAGATCTATCTGGAAAAAAGGAATATTTAACAAATCACGTAGGTACCCTTTAGCCATCCTCAGGTTATTCCACCTAAGTCTGGGGGCGTCACGGGAAAAAATGGCTAGACATATTTTATTAGGTTGAAAAATCAAGGATTGCCTATTCCTTTGGGGCAGTGGCGGCCTGCATCTTGAGCTCTTAAGGTGAAATTTCTGGTCAGGTTGTCTCTTTAAGGCACTTACAAGCTGCACAGGAGATTGATGCAAATTAGATAGCTCAGTTGAGGAAGGTAGATGAGCCAGAAGGGCCCGTGAAAGTTTATTCAATGTCAAAGAAATCCTCCAATTCCTTGAAAATGAAGCTTAAAGTCCTGATTACCAGTTGTATTTGATCAGGTACTAATTCATGGGCAGTTTGCCCTAATGCGTCCCGTTTCAATGACGGAGGTGTAATTAGGGTATCAGGGAGGAGGGCTTCCCTATGGCTTCCGTCCCCCGCTGGATCAGCTAGCTTTTCCGGCTCTCCTTGATCATACAGAGGCCAAAAGCGGTTGTATGTTTCGACCGCAGAAACAATTACTTGCTCTGTTTTGCTGTTATTGTTAGTAGATGGTGGGGGGAGATTCAAGCTTCGACTGCTTTACTCTTGGAGGTGAGCAACCTTTCTCAGCAGATCTTGGTCGCTTGCCATGACCCATTTGTCGCTGTCTCACTAACTACAGAGGTTCAAAGTAGAGATAAACGGAGATAAAAGAGAGAACTTATCTTTTATGGGCACAACTCCTCTGCTACTCCTCCTCCACTTCTCAACATAGCCCAGTCTTCAAGGCGGCGTTACTAATCAGCGACAGGCTTTCTCAGCAGAGGGTTTGAATATCCTTGTTGATACGTATATTGGCACCAACAGGCCAACCGTAGAAGTAAAACGATTAAAAACTTCTAACAGAAGTAAAATAATTTAAAAGTCTAATAAAACAACTATAAAAACGGCAGTAAAAGGCTATAAAAGGCTATAAAAGGTTTGTAATCCGGAGGGTTCACGAAGGAGAAGTTGTTACAGCCGCCATCTTAATCTCCTTCTTCACCTTTTTCCTTTTTATCTTTTTGCTGTACTGTTGTATTGGTTTCTGGTTTTTTTTTTCTTTTTTATGTATTATTGTGTTGCTTTTTATTTTTTCTTTATTTTCTATAATTCTGAAACTACTAATAAATATTATTTAAAAATAAATAAATGAATAAGACCTTCCCTAGGGTAACCAGCTTCCCCTGACAGCCTTTGCCTTTCTTCTTTCCATCACAGAACGAAAGAATAGCTATGCAAGCTACTATTTGTAATGCTAAAGAGAAATGGATGAGAATGTGCTTGAAAACCATTGTTCTTCTTGCTTAGGCTGTATCAAATTTGGAATGCAGAAATAAATTACTGAATCTCAGAGTAAGCAATGGTACCTAGCACATTTCCAGGCAGTGCAGTACTATTTCAGTTTCAAAGTTCAGCAAATGTATTTTCCAGCAGAGACAGGTAAATCAGTCAGGTTCCTGTTCATAGCAGTTTCCTGCGTGTTCACTCACAAATCTGTTCCATTCCTGCATCAGTGTGATAATTATTTATTGTTCAAGTCTACACACAAATCACATATAAATATGGGCTTTAAACTAATTTTCTCCCGAAACGAACTTTTCTAAACAGCTTTCTTTTGCATTTGGCTACCTTTTTGCCCGGCGTGCTCTGGTCCATGGGGTCACGAAGAGTCGGACACGACTAAACGACTAAACAACAACAACACCTTTTTGTTGCTAGCCAAGATCTCTGATGGAATATTAGGAAGTGTAGTACCAGGATGATTTAAGAAAGCATCTGTGGAGGCACAGATCAGAATTCAAAAGAATGAATTCCTTGAACATCCTTAATTCACAAGAAGATTTATATATGAAGATTTGCAGTTTTATAGCCCTATTCAAAGGGTTCCAGATGTGTAACAGCTGAATTGACTCCTTCATCACCAGTGAACTTTCCATCTTCAGTCAAATAAGTTAAAACAATGTAGGAAGAACAGAAATGTTAACTGTGGAAAATGAAAGTTGCCCCATCTCCTCTCCCTCATATTCTGTAGTCCTATTAATTTTCTTTATGCAACCCAGGTGAGTCAAGAGAATCCATTAGCTGTGGGCACAAAGTACTCTAGCACAAACAAACAAATCACATAACGCGCACATAAAAGTGAAAGACTGCCTTTGTGTCCCATTCACTTATATCACATGCAACACAAATCACAACCGAACACCATTTGAGCTATTTTCCTACTGAAAGGAAACATTCTACAGAAAACCAAATGGTGGAACAGGCTTCAACTATTATAGGCTTAGTACTGCCCCACCCCCTCCAGCAGTATGTCTTTATGGCAATATATCTCCTTTTACTTACAACAACTTTACCTCAGTGTTGCAGCATTTGGATTCTCTACATCAATTACAAGCAGAGGAAACAGGGAGGCAGCAATCTAGGGAATTGGTTCAGCCTAGACACTGAAATCCAGCCCCATGGGCTTTCTGGCGGTTCCCTCATTGCGAGAAGTGAAGTTACAGCGAACCAAGCAAAGGGGCCTTCTTGCCTTGTGGAACACCCTCCCATCAGATGTCAAAGAAATAAACAATTACCTGACTTTTAGAAGATATCTGAAGGCAGCCCTGTATAGGGAAGTTTTTAATGTTTGATGCTTTGTTGTGCTTAATTTTCTTCAACATTTAAGAGCTGAAAAAGTTACATGGGCCAGCTTCACAACTAAGCTTTGAAAAGACCAATGCCCATCTATTGGAATGAAATTCTTCTATAAACTGCCTATCTCTTAATCCTCAGCTTTTGTTTGATATCCCTGTTTGTTCGTTAGACTTCTTAAAACAATTTCCCCTCAATTCTTGCAAGGTGGGGAACTCCTTTTCCTATTTAAAAGACTAGCAGAGAATGTGAAGTACAGAATTTGTTGCAAGAGACCTTAAAAAAAATAAATCTGGATGCATCCAGGCAGATTTCCTTTTCTCTGTCAGGATGGTATCCAAAGAAAATGATTAAAAATAAATGGCCATCAAGATCCAACCCAGGTAATTCTTCTTTTCAGTGAGAGCAAAACCTCAGACGTAAAGATAGATACAAATCTCTGAAGGGTTGTCATAGTAATCAACGCACCAAAAGTAATATTTCTACACCTGGAACTTTTTCTTCCTTTTTTTACAAGAGAAGAAGAAAAATGATTTGAGTTTCTAATCACAGCAGGAGACTTGGATGGAATGGGAGGTTGACTGTCTTCCTCCACAACCACCTTTTGAGAGAAGAGGAGAAAATCTTGCACAATGAGGATGATTTCAGAAAGCATTTCAGTGTGGTTCTTGGGTGCTGGCTTTACCTCTGATGTTAAAAGAGATAGAAAATCTTTTATTTCCTGGCAGGGCACCTTACTTTTCTTTTCTGCCACCCAAAGTGAATGGAGCAGAAAGAGTGCTGGAGAGACCGGGACGCAATTTTTCAATCACTCACGAGTTTATCTGGTGACTTTGAGCCAGCCACGCTCCCTTGTTCTAGCGCACCTCACAGGGCTTGTTATTGTTGTTGTTGTTGTTTAGTCGTTTAGTCGTGTCCGACACAGTTTGGTCAGACTCATGCTGGTAGTTTCGAGAACACTATCCAACCATCTTGTCCTCTGCCTTCTCCTTCTCCTTGTGCCCTCCATCTTTCCCAACATCAGGGTCTTTTCCAGGGAGTCTTCTCTTCTCATGAGGTGGCCAAAGTATTGGAGCCTCAGCTTCAGGATCTGTCCTTCCAGTGAGCACTCAGGGCTGATTTCCTTAAGAATGGATAGGTTTGATCTTCTTGCAGTCCATGGGACTCTCAAGAGTCTCCTCCAGCACCATAATTCAAAAACATCAATTCTTCAGCGTACTGAGAGAATAAAATAAGGTACTTCTTTGGTGAAATTGTTAGAAAGTGAATATGATTAACATTTTTAATCTGTCTGCCATCAATGAATGTCTGTGCAATGGAAAGCTCAGAGGTTTGTGTAAGGTGTCACCTGATGACTAAGAGAGTGGGAGGAAAATAGTGTATATCTCCAGTTCAAACTAGGAATGTACAAACGTGCCCCAGTCCATTCTAACTATTGTTTGTATCCAGTACTTTTAGTTCTGCTGCAACTGTATTATTTTGCACAAGCTTTTGTTCCATTTCAACATCCACTGATGTGGAAATATACCTATTTTTTATGTAACATAGCACCCAATGAACACATATTTCTCAGTTGTCAACAAATATTTACAGATCAGTTACCTTGCCTGTGTGTTTCCTTTTCCAGTTCATAAATTTGCAGTTCGCAGGCCTTGTTAGTCTTTGGTAGCAAAAGCAACAGAGTCCTGTGGTGCCCTAAAGACAAAGTGAATGAAGGAGTTATTGGACCATCACAAAGCCATCCATGACTGTAATCCTAACTATGTCTACTCAGCTGTCAGTCCCATTGAATTAAAGAGGGCCAAGGTAAGTCTTGTTAGGATTGCAACCTATCTGGGTGGCTTGATTTCATTCCTTCCTTCATTTTCATTGTAGGCTGCTTTTCTACAAAGAAATCATGCTCAAAGCAGCTTACAACAAAGAAACATGGATGTATTAAAACATCTTCATCATCATCATCATCATTTATTATTTATACCCCACCCATCTGGCTGGGTTTCCCAACAGAATATTCATAGAAGCAATCATTAAATACTTCCTTAAAGAGGGCTGCCTTCAGAAGACTCCTAAAAGTCGGATAGTTGTTTATTTCCTTGACATCTGATGGGAGAGCATTCCACAGGGGGGTGCCACCACTGAGAAGGCCCTCTGCCTGGTTCCCTGTAACCTCACTTCTCACAGGGAGGGAACCGCCAGAAGGCCCTCACCGCTGGACCTCAGTGTGTGGGCTAAACGATGGGGGTTCATGACCAGGGTTGCTGTGCGTAAGAGAAACCTGGTGGACAAGCAGTGGCAAGATCTGGCCCATCTGCTTCATCTAAGCAAGTCTCTGTTACACATGCCAGATCAAGTCCTCCATCCACGATCAAGTCATGGATGGCAGTGGTCTTATGAATCATTGATGTGGCATTGCACAGCAGCACCTGGAGGTTATGTGGGTCTCCCTTGTTGATTCCAGTATCTTTCCAGTCAAAACCAGGCCCAGAGGCAGGGATAGTCTTCAAACAATGACTAAACCTGCCTCCTCGGTAATGACATGGTCTGGTCTTAGCGTAACTCCTCCTCCTGCCCGTGATCACTGAGATCGGGTGTCCCAGTGCATCCCCCCTGCCCATGAAACCTGCCCTAGCCATTCTGTTGGCTGGGGCCCACTGCCAGGCAGCCTGGACCCTCTCCCCTTAAGATCAAAGTATAAACAATACAATAGCCAATAAAACAGTGGGGGGGGAATACAATTATACCAAAACTGTCAGGAGTCCAGGTTCTCAGCTTGATAACACAGTAAGCGTAGGTCAGGCACATCCAACTCGCAAGAGACTGCAATCTACTCCCAGTATTAAAAAATTGACAGTGATCTACCCATTGTTATTGCCCAGAGTTGTTGAGCTTTTTTGGGGAGGGGGAAGGAGGTGCAAAACAATTTCTAAGCATCTTTTGGGGATCACCACAGAACACCCCGTGATCAACCTGTTACATCCCCACGATCGACCAGTAAATCGTGATCATCCTGTTATACATGCCTGGTGTAGGTAATTAAAAAGGAGCATTATTGCCAAAAACAACAAGTAGCTTAAACAAAGCATCCGGCATCATTACTCAGATGACCCTTCTAAAAAGTCATTCTGGGATCTACAGAAGATATTCAACGTACGACTCGTCTTTGGTTTTTCTTCCTGTCTAGCAACCCCCACCCCACCCCCCCAATTCACCAGCTTTTGGGACTTATTGGCTTAGCTCCAACCTGATCCGGTTCAGACAGACTATCTCCTTGCCTGTTTGTGCCTAATCTAACTCTCTCTGTTCTGCAGCTGGCTGTGGAGTTTCACTAGGAGCTGGCTCATTCCCGACAAAAACTAAACCAACCCAGAGCCCCAACCAAACATCCAACCCACCAGGAACAGAGCAAAAAAACAAAAATGCCACCTACTGTGTAAGAACATTTCAAAACACATGGACAGTTGGAGCAGGGAAGCAACAGCAGAACATCCGCCCGCCCCCATCACTTCCCCAGGAGTTCACTCCAGTGAGTCCAGCCCTGCGCAATGGGCCATGCAGTCCTCTCTGCAGCAGATGATTCCTCAGCTTCCCTTTTTAAAAAAAATATAATTTTTATTAACCGACCAATCAAATCAAATCAAATCACATCACATCACATCACATAAATTCTGAATTACAAAGCCGAATTTTAAATTTTTGTTGAGGGGACCCATATTTCAAGTTTCAAAGGGGGATTCCGATCATCTTCTTGCTAATGCGTTCATATCCAAATCAGTCCAGATAAAGTTCATAATTCTATCCAGTCTTATCTTGCTGTTTCCACGTCTCATCTTGTTCGTACATTTTTCTTTTTCCTTTATGCTCTCTTCTGATAATCTCCTTAAGCAGATAAACACCAATTATATCCTGTGTGGATTTTTCCGTTCGACCAATCCTCATATCGTGATGGTTTCCATATATCATCACTTTCATAAATAACATCGCTCCTTCCATCATTAATCTCAGGGTCTGTCGTTCTTAAGTCCCACTGAGGAGTCTCACCCACAGTATAAAAACAGCTCTTTCCTCCTCCCAGACTCAAGTCCTCCGACAGAGCTTACCAATATGGCGACGGTATTTTTAACTGCGTCATTCCAGAGCTCTTAAACTTTCCACGCTTTTCTTAAAACGTGCTTTGGTTAGAAACTTTATCTCCACACAGTCGTAAATCCACAGCTTAAGTCATTAAAGTGGCATTTCTGACTTGGGGGGGGGGCGTTTCTTGTTTAATCACATAGAGGTTTCCCCCCCCCTCCCCATCCAGTCCTTTTGCCATACCGAGTCTTGGCTGTCTTCTCAAAATTGATTCTTGTTCTTCCGACTCGTCTTGTTTATCAGAGAACTCTTCAGTTAGCCGTCTTTACTCCCCCTCCTTCCTTGAAATATGTGCATTTGCTTCTTCCTAATTGTTCCTTTTGAAGTTCTTGCAGCTAGCGGCGCGGATCAGAGACGGCGTCCAGGAGCGCCGAAATCCACAGGAGGGCATTCTGCCTAATGCCCCCATGCCGTCAAATTCGGGGGTGGTATAGGGCACAGCAGGCAAGGACAGCCCCCGCCCAATCCTGGGGGGGGGGGTAGGGAGGCTATTTACTCCCATCACAGCCTCCTAATTACCCCCTGTGGGTCGGAGAGATGTTATTGTCAGCCATCTTCCAATGCGCCCCTAGTGGCCCCTCCGATTCCTCAGCTTCCCAGGGTAAGTAAGTACCTGGAAGTGTGAGGGCCTGGGCCCCACCAACTAGGCCGGCTGGTGAAAGCCTTGAAAGGGAGCAGGCCCTACAGTCCTCACCACTGCCGATAGCATTGCAAATCAACCGGAAATGGAACATCCCAAAAAATTACTATACTTTTCAATGTATAAGACTAGGTGTTTTTTTTACTCAAAAACAATGTTAATAAACGGGCTTATACACGGGCAGTGCATTGTGGGCACGGGTGATTGGTTGCAGCTCCGAGCCACAGCTTGTCAGAGAAGATTTGGTGGGTGATTGGTTGCTGCGGCAAGGGCTGCCATTGATTGGGTGCCACTGTGGCAGTTGGGCATTCGAATTCCGGCTGCTGTTGGTGAGTGGACAGACGGCAGTTGGCTTCTGCGACACGAGCAATTCTGAGCATTTGTCATCCGGGTTAGTGATTTTCTTCATTCCGCCCCCCCAAAAAAGCTCAACAACTCTATTTTCTTAAATTTGAGTCCCCCAAAATAGTCTTATACATGAAGGTGTGTTATACACGGAAAAATATGGTACATTCCAATACTACAAATATAACAAGGTTACAGTGGTACCTCAGGTTAAGAACTTAATTAGTTCTGGAGGTCCGTTCTGAACCTGAAAATGTTCTTAACTTGAGGTATCACTTTAGCTAATGGGGCCTCCTGCTGCCGCCACACCGCCGCTGCCCGATTTCTGTTCTCATCCTGAAGCAAAGTTCTTAACCTGAGGTGCTATTTCTGGGTTAGCAGAGTCTGTAACCTGAAGCGTCTGTAACCTGAAGCATCTGTAACCTGAAGCGTCTGTAACCCGAGGTACCACTGTACTTAAAAAGCATGCAGCACCAACAGCAAAAATAACAAGGGAATTTCTCTTTAGTCCTAGAAACACCCCTCCCTTGATGTTCCCCATTGTCCGTCACCTTCAGCAGATTCTTATAAGGCTTCCAAAGCAAAGGGTGGGTGGGGGGAGCTAAAAACACCCATCTCAAGATGCTGCTTAATGAGGTTTTCAGTGCAAGCTTGCCATCCTCTCGCATTCTCTTTACTCAAGCATCAGGGAGGGACCACTTAGCACTCAAAATTTTGCTCGGTGTCCTGGATTATATGGATTGCTGTGGGCAAGTCACACTTTTACAGACATTTTCCTTTGCTCCCTGTACTGCCACTGAACCACATATAAATCCTTCTTTCAACTGCGCATTTTATTCCAGAAATGCATATTCTTTTGACCTGGCCACAGTGACCCATGCGACGGTCACCTCCAGGCTTGACTACTGTAATTTGCTCTATGCGGGGCTGCCCTTGAAGCTGTCCCAGAAACTCCAGCGGATGCAGAATGCTGCAGCAAGGCTCCTCATGGGGTCTCTGCCATGGAAGCATATTCACCCAGTGCTTTTCCAGCTGCACTGGCTCCCGGTGGAGTACAGGGTCAGATTTAAGGTGCTGGTTTTGACCATTAAAGCCCTTCACAACTTAGGACCCTCGTACCTACGGGACCGCCTCTCCCCGTATTCCCCACGGAGAGCCTCAAGGTCCATAAACAGCAACACCCTAGTGGTCCCAGACCCTAAGGAAGTTAGATTAGCTTCAACCAGAGCCAGGGCCTTTTCAACTCTGGCTCCGACCTGGTGGAATGCTCTGTCCCAGGAGACCAGGGCCCTGCAGGATCTGATTTCTTTCCGCAGGGCCTGTAAGACAGAGTTGTTCCACCTGGCCTTTGGCTTGGAGTCAATTTGATTCCCTCCCTCTCTTTCTTTTTTCTTTTCCTTTCTCCTCCTGTGATGAGGCTACATTTTAATATTTTAATGTTTCAATATTTTAATGTTGTATTTTAATTTTGTTTTTAAGTTGTAATCATTCAACTTGTTTTTATTATTGCTTGTAAGCCGCCCTGAGCCCGGCCTTGGCTGGGGAGGGCGGGGTATAAATAAATATGATGATGATGATGATGATGATGATGATGATGATTACAGGAAATGGCCGTGTGTGTTCATCGGCTGAAGTATAACATTCATGTTAATTTATGTTGAAATGTTTGTAGTAAAGGGGTGGAATTCAACACTGTGCTATTTTAAAGCAGGTGGGTGTAGAGCACAAGCTATGATCATGTTGCTACTGGATTTGATAGAACAAATCCCAATTTTTCTTCCCCACCCCACCCCCTGGTTCCATGGCACATTTTTAAAATTATGCACTAGAACAATTTTGTGATAATCTTTGAAAAAAACATATATTTCTTTCCTGACCATTCATTTTCAGATAAGACGTTTGCATGAGAATTATGTTGCACATTTGATATACATATCTTCTCCAGAGAGGAGTTTAATCCAGAGCTGCCAGAACTGCACAAATGTAGGTTAGTCACAAATATCTGAAATAATTTGAATGAAAAATTGATGGCTGTCTGGTAAAGAGTTATAGAAATCAGGGAGAAAGAAATGTAGGTTAGCCTAGACTGCTAAACAATCTACTTTTTCTCCTCCACAATGATCCCTCCCCCCAAAAATAACATAAAAATGCTTACATTGGGAAAGAAATAAAAAGTTTCCTGATCCCCAAAAGTAAAGCCACCCTTTCGTAGGAACAACTTCCTGAGAAAACTGGCAACGAACATGGTGCCAGCAAAGATTCATAGATGACCCATAAGTATGTAAAAGAGTTTGCATGCATGCTTTTCCACCAAAGATATGAGGAAAGCCACCTTTAAAAATGAACAGCAGCTTCTATCTTCGGCAATAAGCTTTCCATGCTGTATTTATTGCAGAAGTCTTGCATGAAGTGACACACAAAGTTCTGATGGCACATGCAGTCCTCCCATGGAGGACCTTAAGGTCCATAAATAGCAACACCCTAGAGGTCCCTGGCCCTAAGGAAGTTAGATTAGCCTCAACCAGAGCCAGGGCCTTCTCAACATTGGCTCCGGCCTGGTGGAACGCTCTGTCTCATGAGACCAGGGCCCTGCGGGATCTCATTCCTTTCCGCAGGGCCTGTAAGACAGAGTTGTTCCGCCTGGCCTTTGGCTTAGAATCAGTGTGATTCCCTCCCCCTCTTTCTTTTTCCTTTCTCCTCCTGTGAAGAGGCTGCATCCTAATGTTTTAATGTTGTACTTTAATCTTGTTTTTTAAATCGTATTTTAATCAACATATTTTTATTATTGGTTGTTAGCTGCCCTGAGCCCGGTCTTGGCTAGGGATGTGAGGAGAACTAGAACTTACAGGGTTAAACAGTTCTGTGTGACGTCTCACATTCTGAGGCGTGGTTTGGTTCTTTGTGTGTGAGTTTCCTTTCGTTTTTGGCTGAGAGACGAAAGAATGTCTGCTCTCTCGCCGGGACAGATTTATGATGTTTTTCTTCTCATTAAAGGCTGTTAGAGATTAGCAAGAAGACTGCGTTCAGTCTGATTTATTATCCACACACAAGGCAACACTTTCTACCGCTGCAGAACTCTGCTACGAACTCTGCTAAGAGTTCAAGTTTTTCCTATCGGCACAAGCGCCCATCAGCACAGGGGAAGTGTGCCATCTTATCTCAGCAAGGGAGGGAAGGGAAGGCAGGGTATAAAAAAATAAAATGTTGTTGTTGTTGTTGTTGTTATTCTACTGTAACATCATCCCACTTAACCTAAGGTTACCAGGCGTCCCTGTTTCCCGGGACAGACCCCGGATTTACAAATCAGTCCCCTGACAAAATCCATCTATTTAGGTCGGCAGTTCGAATCCCCATGTCGGGGTGAGCTCCCGTTGCTCTGTTCCATCTCCTGCCAACCTAGCAGTTCGAAAGCACACCAGTGCAAGTAGATAAATAGGTACCACTGTGACGGGAAGGTAAATGCCATTTCCATGTGCTGCTCTGGTTTCGCCAGAAGTCATGCTGGCCACATGACCCAGAAAGCCTGTCTGTGGACAAACGGCAGCTCCCTTGGCCTGAAAGCGAGATGAACCCCAACCCCATAATCGCCTTTGACTGGACTTAACCATCCAGGGGTCCTTTACCTTTACCTTTACTAGAACTGCCATCATCCACTTGAGTGACAAGCATGCAGTAAAATCCCATTTTACAGTAAGTCTTTTTTTAAAAAGAAATGCAAAAGGACCCGTGCAAATAAAAGAAATATAAAATAATGCAGGGTGGGGTGTTGTTGTTGTTGTTGTTGTTGTTGTTGTTGTTTAGTCGTTTAGTCGTGTCCGACTCTTCCTGACCCCATGGACCAGAGCACGCCAGGCACTCCTGCCTTACACTGCCTCCCGCAGTTTGGTCAGACTCATGCTGGTAGCTTTGAGAACACTATCCAACCATCTCATCCTCTGTCGTCCCCTTCTCCTTGTGCCCTCCATCTTTCCCAACATCAGGGTCTTTTCCAGGGAGTCTTCTCTTCTCATGAGGTGGCCAAAGTATTGGAGCCTCAGCTTCACGATCTGACTCAGGGCTGATTTCCTTCAGAATGGAGAGGTTTGATCTTCTTGCAGTCCATGGGACTCTCAAGAGTCTCCTCTAGCACCATAATTCAAAAGCATCAATTCTTCGCAGGGTGGGGTATGGGACATTTATTTGTGTTTTTTATTTTGAGCATGCATGTGTAAGGACTGATGGACCAGTGCAAGTATAGCTTGGCAATTCAATTAAAGTGCCATTTCTAGAAACTCACACACCTGCTGATTTCTATTTATATTTAGGGATAATTAATAAACCACCCTGCAGAGAGTGTCTGTCGCAGATGGGAAGTAAGGAAAGGCCATGTTTTCACTAGAATGGCAAAGTGGGACAAAGCCATACCCGACATTCCCCTTTGATGCTGAAACCAGGTCTACTGCCAGGGCAGAGGTTGCAGATGAGGAAATATGTTCCCCGTTTCCTTTGCTGTCAGTGATTAATCTTACTGTGGGCAGTACTGCTTTGCCCCTATTATATTCTGAAAGGTTACAGTGAGTTTAATAAGTCTTCCATCAAATGAAAGCGGTTTCAAAACAGGAGAAAATACTCAAATATTCTCAACACAAAGAACAAGCAACCACTCCCACCCCCAATTTACACGGGGTAATGTTCTGAGCTACCATAAGAGCCATTGAGAAAACCTTCAAACACCCTGTTCCGCCCCTTTTTTGCGATACATTTGTGACATTTTGGGGTCAATTCTGGGTTCGGTGCGATGCCGTATGAGCGATTGTGCACATATTGAACATCTGTAAATTGGGCGACTGAATCATCACAAATGATAATTGTTTGCATGGGCTCACCACCATAGCAAAGAGGATTTTGGAGCCCTCACAGCCTGAACAAGACCAGTCCAGCCAAGCTTATTACAGGGATGTGAATATCAGGGCTTTCTCTTTCCTTCTAACATGTGCTACTGTGAATGGAACGATGAGACAGGCCCAAGCCGATTTTTCTCAGATGCAGGAAATTGTTTTCCGGTTGCACTGCTCATTTTTTCCATGAGTGTGCTGCTTCTGCTGCCACCACCAGGATCACTACCCCTTCCTCCAGGCCTCACTCTAGCAACAGCCAAGGGAGTGCTTCCTCAGAACAACGTGCTCTGGAGAATGCAGTTGTGAGAGTTCCTGTGACACTGTGGGTTTCCACAACAAGTAGTTTAAATTTAAGGGAGGTAGGGAGTTGAAAGTCACTGACTAACGTAGTAGTGTTAAGCTTTATTTCTAAATCGGTAGCATTTTCATTGCTAAGGCAAACCACTCCAGGGCACAGGGGGCTCTCTCAGCTATCTTACCCAGAATGCCTCACTCTGAGGGAGACTGCAGCTCCTTCCAAGGCTAGCATCTCTTGCTTCAGAAACAGTGACGACAGCAACAAGGGGCAGAACCCCCCACCTGCACTCGTCCCATGTTGGCTTAGGGCAGGCATCCCCAACCTTTGGCCCTCCAGATGTTTTCGCCTACAACTCCCATGATCCCTAGCTAACAGGACCAATAGTCAGGGATGATGGGAATTGTAGTCCAAAACATCTGGAGGGCCAAAGGTCAGGGCTTATCTTAAGTAACATGGGGAGAGGGGTTCTGGTTTGCAAACATTTCACTGGCTGAAGCTTTATATACTGAGCTGCACCCTAACCATTGTTTTCTCCCTTGTCATTTTTAATGGCATACACGTTGGCACCATTGGAGCCCCTGTGTTAAGCCCTGAATGAATTCTCAAAAGCTTGTCTGTGGTACAAGGTGTCCATCCATAGACTCAATAAAGCAGACTCCATTAATCTTATCAAATTGGTTCATGTGGAATTGTACTCTGAAGTGTTTGCTTAAAACAGTGGAGTGTGGCAGGGGGAGAAACCTCTGAATGCCTCAGTTTCCGCGGAGAGAAGTCTTTATCATCAAGCCACTTTCTCCAGAGTAATCCTGTTGAACTCGGTAATGCTACCCTTACGTAAGCAATCTGTAGGTTGCAGCCTACAATGTCTGTTTCCACTCTTTATTAGGCCAGGGTCCCTCATCAGTATTCTTTCCTGCGCTCGTTCCTCCTTTTAAGACAGTTTCTTGGAAGTCTTCACAAAGGACAGTTACACAGTGTGCAGGCAGCTTGTTCATCTTTGGATTCTGTCCACCTGGCCTGCCCCCCTTCCCACCCACAGAAGCACAATGGGAACTGCACAAGTTCGGCTTTTTTCAAAGCCATTCTCCTACCTGTGAAAGAGAAAGTCGGATTTGCCAATGTTCCTTTTCAGTCTCCATCACAACTGCCTTGCCTCTCTCTCCCCCCCCTCCTTTTATTGTGGCTGCCTCTGACACTTAGCCACATCGTTCTGAAGTTGTTCCTCTTCTTCCTCTGCCTTGTTGTATTCTACACTTTTGGCTTTTCGAGATAAGGGCATCTTCTGAGCTGCAGCAGCATCCCATTTGCAGGAGAGTGTCTTGCGGAAGTGTGTGCAGTGCAGAAATCGTATCCACTCAGCTGTGCACTCAGAAACAGAGAGACTTTGCTAGGTCACTCAACAAAACTGATCCCCACCCCCCGGCAACAAATGCACTCTTCCCCCTCCATCCTTTGTTTGCAGGAGTGTGGGGTGGGTGTGGGGTGTGGGGGTGTTTGTACATGTTCTATTTTCCTTGCTACCACTTGGTTCAATTGATCCACCTAACAACAATGGAGAGAATGCTATTCTTATGTTTCTTTCTTTGGATCAAGAGAACCAGTGTTGTACAGTGGTTAGAGCAGAGCTTTCCCAACAGTGTGGCGTGACATGTTAGTGTATTGGCTGCAGTGCATGGATGTGTTGCATGAATGCTCCCTGCACTCCTCCCGAGGCTGGAAAGGGCGCTGTGGTCTAAACCACAGAGCCTAGGGCTTGCCAATTGGAAGGTCGGCGGTTCGAATCCCCGTGACGGGGTGAGCTCCCGTTCCTCGGTCCCTGCTCCTGCCAACCTAGCAGTTTGAAAGCACTTCAAAGTGCAAGTAGATAAATAGGAACTACTCCAGCGGGAAGGTAAACGGTGTTTCCGTGAGCTGCTCTGGTTTGCCAGAAGTGGCATAGTCATGATGGCCACATGACCCATGGTCATGGTCTTACATATATTTGTCTTATTTTTACCACCTCCAGCTTCCCGTTTTGATTACACCAACCTCCTCCCACTGTTCACAGACCAGGGGATGGATTTTCCAAATTCGGCAGCAGGAGACCAGCAGCCCACAGAGTCTTTGGAGACTTCGAAATGGGTTCTAGATATTTTCCCCAAAGCATCTAAGGTGGCTCCGAGGACAATTTTTAAAAAATTAATCTAACCATGACCTGATTACCTATATTTCTAAATCTTAATGGATAGCAAAAGAAACAGACTATGTAAAGAATAAGAGATCCTATTTATAAGCGGGATGAAGAAATCTTCATTGTGTCAATTGCATTATCTGAAAAACCTCTTTTCTTCTGAGCAACTGTTCTCAAATAGTTGCTCTTCCCAAATTTCTCAGCCAAGTCACTCAGCAGGGGGATGTGTCACAATAGTAGACATGACACCATTACTTTAGCGACCTTGCTTAACAATATGAATTGTTCCCCTTAAGGAAGTGAAATGTTATGAGTTTGTGGGTGACAGACTCTCCTATGCCATGTGTTTCTGGGTGCCAGGCATTGAACCCCTGGACACTGAACATCTGGGGAGTTGATGTGTGCCTTGTTTACATGTACCCCAAGCTCTACATTTGATTACTGGCTATTAAAAACTGGTTGAAACCATTGCATTTCATTCACAAAAGAAAAGCTGACGTGATTATGATAAAGGTTTATAGACAATGGGTGACACATTTATTGATCCTTTCTGTAAGTTATTATATGTCCAATGTTTAATTTATATATAGTAAGATATATATAGTAAGTTATATATAGTATGAGATCTAGTCCAACCCTCTGCAATGCAGGAATCTTAGCGAAAGCATCCATGGCAGATGGTCATCCAGCTTCTGTTTAAAAACCTCCAAGGAAGGAGAGTCCACTACTTCTTGTGATAGTCTGTTAGACTAGATGACCCATGGGTTCCTTACAACTCTAATATTTTATGATTCTGTGAAATGGATCTGGATTAATGACAGTCATTCACCAGTTCATATTCAAAACTGCTTCCCACCTCAACTCCTTACTGATTACTATACATAAATAAAACATTAAAGTAGACAAATAATAACCTACAAGAAGGATCAATAAATGGGTCACCCATTGTCTATAAACCTTTATCATAATCACATGTCATATTTTCTTTTGTGAATGAAATACAATGGTTTCAACCAGTTTTTAATAGCCAATAATCAAATGTAGAGCTTGGGCTTCCTTTAAACAAAGCTTAGATCAACTCCCCAGATGTTCAGTGTCCAGGGATTCAGTGCCTGGCACCCAGAAACTTATGGCACAGCGGAGTCTGGCACCCACAAACTCATAGCATTTCATTTCCTTGCAGCCTAAGGAAAACTGTTTATTAGCAGAACACACTGGACAGAAACTGAAAGAAATGGGGATGAGGAGGTCTAAGGGTGAAGCCCTGCTCCTGTCCATCATAATACTGGATAGATTACTACAGGGTGTTGAGAGGGGTTATTTTTAACTCTTAAGTGAGAAACAGCAGCCGTCATCTAGGCCAGAAGTGTTGTCCCTTGGTGATCCCTCCATGTTGAAAAGTGTGTGTGTGTTTGCAAGGTGTTTCTTGTCCTGTCCAGAAATGCACCGTGCTGGATGAAGCCAGCTCTAGATCTTTTCTAAATAAATTGAATAAAACCACTTAACCCACTGAAAGATATATTTGAGAAATAAATATTAAGGGGAACAATGCCCATTGTTAAGCAAGGTAGCTAAAGTAACCGTGTCATGTCCTCCATTGTGACACGTTCCCCTGCTGAGAACTTTGGGTAGAGCAACTATTTGAGGTTATTGAGTGAGAAACAAGTTGGTTTGGGTGAATTGTGTTTGCTGAAAAAAAATTAAGATTTCTTCATCACGCTTTTAAGTAGGATCTCTTATTCTTTCCACAGTCTGTTTCTTTTACTATTCCTTAAGATTTGGAAACATAGGGAACCAGGTCATGGTTAGAATTATTTTTAAAGATTGTCCTCAGGGCCCCCGTAGATGCTTTGAGGGAAATGGCTTGCAGTGCAGAGATAGAGAGTATCGAGGAAATAACTAGAATCCATTTCGTGACCTTCTTTTTTTTCCTCCCTAGATGTTCCGGTCTGTGCAGGATTCGAGAGCTGCTGGCCTCCTGTTGCCGCTCCATCAAAATCCATCCCTTGGACTGTATGAGGGAAGAAAGTGTAATCGTGGAAGGAAGGAGAATTAAAGTGAGAACCATCTATGTGAGACCGAAGGACCAGGCGATGGATGCCACCAGTGCTTCCACCAGTGGTGAGTGTTGACCTTTGTTCATGAAAAACAGGGAGGCCAGAGAGAATCTGGCTGGCTGGGGGGTGGGGGGTGGGAGGCAGCTCCCTGATTTAAGAAGAGTGTAGGGATTGGATGAGGAAGGGAGAATAATGTGGGCCACTTGGAGATCCTTGCAGTAATAATAAATGAAAATTTTAGGAATCTTTTCTGTTCTTTTCTCTTCCAGGCAACAGCAACAGTGAGGCCAGCAGCTCAAGCTGAGCTCCCCCACCAAGGTCCAGTTCCCCCTTCCCCAATTAAATATTTTTTCTTCTATTCTAATAAAGGTTGTATTACAAATATGCTAGTCTTTTGTCATGTTAATGGAAAGAAGAGGAAGAAGTCCCAGCAAAAGAAGAATGGATACAAAAACTTATGGAATATGCAGAAATGGCAAATCTTACCGGAAAAATAAAAAATCAAGATAACAAACTTTTTAGATATTTCTTATTAAAATGAGAGCGGAAGTGAGACTTCCGGGTTAGCGCCATCGCCGAATGGCGGACTCCCTCCGAGCTCCGGAGGGAGTCTGCTTGGCAGGGGCTGGGTCCTACCGCGCCGGCGACGCGGGGACCCTTAAAAACCACGGGCACGGAGTCCGTGGACATGGGTGACTCGGCTTGCACCATTAGCGCCCTCCCGACTCGTGAAGGAGCCTTTTTAAAGGCTTCGGATCGGGTGCCGGGGAGTGGCGTGGTACTTTGAGTCCACTGCTTTCCCTGCCGAGCGCAGCCGCATGCCATTCGACGGAGAGCGCTGACTTCTTCTATTGAAAATTTGGACATTAACAACAACCCGTGAGTAATTGGGAAACCGGGTTCAAAATTTTGGATTTGGCACGAGCGGGGCGATTTAAAAGGAAGTCAATCCCCCTATTGTAAGCATTCCAAAACAAGGACTGGGTAACCAAGGTCCAAAGGGAAGTATGTCTCTGATAAAAATCATTAATTTCACGATGGGAAATTATAAGAAATGTGCTGGAGGAGAAGAGTGGAGGGTGAGAAGAAAAATGCAACCCCCCCCCTGGGAACCGGGGCGATTCGTGGAGCCTGGTGAAGAGAGACGGAGACTTTGACAGCTGTCAAAGTGGCTGTCAAAAGCTGGAGAATATAAAGAGGACTTTGTTATGAGGACCTTGCTGGTTAATTTTGTTACAATTTGCTATAATATGGATATAAACTGTTGGAAAATAAGCAACAATTTGACTTTTGGATTAGAGGATACAAAGTTATTACAATCCCCCTAGAGGGGTTTCGGGATACTACAAGAACGGTCGTAAGTGGAAAAATACCCTGGGATTCGCACAGGATTTATCTTCTGGGAAAGCTGCAAAACTGAAAGAGTATTTTGTCTACAGAGGAAGACAATGGAATTTTTTATTGAAGAAAGAAAGGGACTGGACGTAAGTTTTTGTTCCTGAATAACAAACCTCTGCAGAGACACTAGATTTCTGAATTAGAAAGTTTTAGCAGCTGAACAGGACAAGAAACCTGAGAAAGTGAGGAATAAGAAGAATAAAGGACTGATTACGACACGGAAAGAACAACGGGAGGAGTGGTAAAGATCAAGGAAATTAAAGGCCTTTGTTAGATTGGACATTTGAAGTCAAATATTATTTAAATTAATAAACTAAAAGAAAACCGGCAAGATGGAATCGGGAGAAATCTGGTCATGAAATGAGACTTCCAAGCTGATAATGTATAGACTGATGGACATGAGGAATCCAAACCGGGGAAGGGGGAGATTTGAAATCCAAAGGCTGTGTAACCATTTTTGAATTTTTCTATATTTCTTATTTTCTATTTCTTTACATAACTTACGCATGTTATTTTACTTTGATCGGACATGTTTAAAAAAAAGGGAATTGTGGAAGGAACTGGGGTGGATCTTGGGGAAAATCTTTTTCTTTTTCTGTTAATGATGTGGGACGGTGGTAAGATTTGTACAATTCAATCTGGATAGTGGGTTAAACAAATTAAGCTTTAAATTGGGAGGGAGAGCTTGTAGAACCAAATTAAGGAAAGGGAATACAATTGGGGGGAGGGGGAGTCCCAAAAAGTAGGGAATGAAAGTAAGGTTTTTTAAATATCTTCTTTCTTTTGTCTTTTTTCTTTGTATTTTTATTTTTTTGGAAACTTTAATAAATATGATTTAAAAAAATAAAAATAAAATGAGAGCGGAAGTATCAATCAAAAGAATTTAAGGAATTATCATGCTGTTTTACAACATGGATACCATATCATCATTTGGACCAAGCATTTAAGAAAGATGTGATACGAGGGTTTGGGGAACAAATATCACAACTGGAGAGAGATCTGTTGGAATGTAATGTAAAAGTGCTGTCTAAAATGTATAAGATATTATTGGAATGGGAGACCAAGGATGAGCAAGTAAATTCCTCAATGATACATTAGGCAATAGATACTGGTTATAATGTAGATATGGGAACATGGGAGCAATTGTGGAATATGGATATAAAACTTACAGCATGAAAGAAAATTATATGAAAATGTTATATCAATGGTACGTAATTCTGAGTAAATGGCAAAAATGTATAAATCTAAATCAAATAAGTGTTGGAAGTGTAAAGAGAAAGAAGGTTCTTTTTATCATATGTGGTCTTGCAGTAAGGTTAAAGCTTACTGGGAAATGATATATAATGAATTGAAAAGGATGTACAAAATAACTTTTATTTTTTTAAAAAAACCAGAAGGTTTTCTTTAAGGAATTATAGGGACAGAACAACCTAAATTGTATAAAAATTTATTCATGTATGCAAATGGTTTATTGAATATTTAGAAATAAACTGTAAACAGATAAGGATTATTGTAATAACCTGCAGTTTTATAAGAGTATTTAAAGTAGCTGTATAAATGAGCAAATAAAGTTAATTTGGATATGCAGAAAATATAAAAAAAACAAATTTAAGGAATTGCAGAAAGAGGGGGAAGGAAGTCAAGTTTTGAAATGTTAAGATGATTGTAAAATTACTGAAATGTATAAAATTGAAAATCATTTTAAAAAAGGAATGAGGTACAACAGAGACTGCAGTTTCTTTTTGATGCATGGTTTGTATAAAACTGAAAATCATAAATGAAATATATATACAAAAGAGAAAGGCAGGTCATTCCTGTCAGCATTTACCTGCACAGTGCTGCCTGCCCCCCACCCACCTTACCCCCCTTCCAGTAAGCTGCAGTGAGGCTGCTACCAGGAAACTTGCAGCTAAGGTACCTCTTCTATCAAGCTCTTTTATTACATTTTTTTTTTTTGCCCAACCTTCTGTCCAAGGAGTTCAAGATGGCATACATGGTTCTCTTCCCCCTCCTCATTTAATCCCCATAACAACCCTTTGAAATAAGTTAGGTTAGATGCATCAGATTCCTAGAATCATACAGCTGGAAGGAACCCCAACGGTCATCTAGTCCAACCCCCTGCAATGGAGGAATCTCAGTGAAAGCATCCCTGACAGATGGCCAGCCAACCTCTGCTTAAAAACCTCTGAGGATGGAGAGCCCACCACCTCTCGTGGGAGTCTGTTTGACTGACAAACAGCTCTTACTGTTAGAAAGTTTTATTTTACAAATGTTTAGTTGGAATCTCCTTTCTTGTTTCGAGTCCTACCCTCCAGAGCAGGAGAAAACAAGCATCCTCCCTCTTCCATGTGACAGCCCTTAAGATATTTGAAGATGGCTATCAGATCTCCTTTCAGAATTCTCATTTCCAGGCTGAACATACTGTGATGGCCTGGGATTCGGACTCGGATGCTGAACCTGAGGGATCCCAGCCTGCACAGGAGTCTCCGCCTCCAGAACCAGCTGAGCCGGGGCTGGGGCATGAGCCTGAAGGGTCCTCACCTGTGCTGGATCCTCAGGTGCAGGCACCAGCTGAGTCTGCTCTGGCTTCTGAGGTGATGGAGGACCCATTGCCTGCAGGTGCTCCACTCTCAGCCCCGTCAGAGGAAGCTGAGGTTGCCTCTGGGTCCGGTAACCCTCCAGTCTCTCCTGAGCTGCAGAGGCTCAGGGCAGAGAGGCGGAGGGAACTAAGTTCCCGCAGGAGGAGTGCTCGCCTCCAGGCCAGGAGAGGCGAGTCACCAGAGAATCGGGGCCACCCTATGCCTCGGGCCGATAAAAGCCGGCCAGCCCCGGTCCCAAATTGCTGGAGGAACATTGTTGGTTGCTAGTTCCTGCCTGAACCCTGTCCTGCTTTCCTGTCTGAGCTACTGACACGCCCTGGCTCCCTGCTTGCATGTCTGTTCCTGACTTCACCCGACTCCCTGCCCTGCACCCAGTGTCAGCTACTACGGACTGCCTCCATGTTGCACCTTTGACGATGGACCGGACTTGGACCCCGCCTCTTGGGTAACCCACGGGACCAGTACACATACCCAGATCCTTCAAGCGTTCATCGTAAGGCTTAGTTTCCAGACCCTTGATCATCTTGGTCACCCTCTTCTGCACATGTTCCAGCTTGACAACATCCTTCTTAAATTGTGGTGCCCAGAATTGGACACAGTATTCCAGGTGTGGCCTGACCAAGGCAGAATCGAGTGGCACAATTACTTCCCTTCATCTGGACATGATACTTCTGTTGATGCAGCCAAGAATAGCATTAGCTTTTTTTTGCTGCTGCATCACACTGTTGACTCATGTTAAGCTTGTGGTCCACCAAGACCCTTAGATCCTTTTCACTTCTACTGCTAGTAAGCCAGGTGTCCCCCCCTCCTATATTTGTGAATCTGGTTCTTTCTGCCTAAATGCAAACTCTTACATTTGTCTCTATTGATATTCATTTTGTTAGCTTGTGCTCAGTTCTCTAACCTGTTAATGTCATTTTGAATTCTGATTCTGTCTTCTGCAGCAATAGATACCCCTCCCAGTTTGGTGTCATCTGAAAATTTGATGAGCATCCCCTCAGCTCCTTCATCCAAGTCATTTGTAAAGCCATTAAACAACAATGTGCCCAGGCCATAGCCCTGTGGCACCCCACTTGTGGCTTTTTTCCTGGAGGACCAAAATGCCCAGGAGGACATTCCTTTTTTATTATTTACGATTTTCAATTTTATACGTTTCATTAATTTTACAATCATTTTAACATTTCAAAACTCGACTTCCTTCCTCCTCTTTCTGCTGTTCCTTAATTTATAAATATATATATTCTGCATACTCCAAAGTATCTTAATTTACTCATTTATTCATATTGCCTTGTTGACCAAAGTTCACTCCAATGTGCCCATCAGGTCAAAAGGTCCCCAGTACCCAGAGGCCATGCCTGACAACAGTGACTAAAGTATGCCCACAACCCATCACTGTCATCCTTTCTGAAATCTTCTCACCTGTCCAGACTACATACCAATTACCCAAATTGAAGGAACATCACTCCAACAGACAACATCACTCAACAGTGTGGAGTAGGTGAAAAAGAGAAAACCCAGAGCAAATTAGAGTCTCCCAAAAATATATCTACTCAGCCCCTGGAAAGCAGAAGACTAGCTTGTAGGCCCACACTGAAAAAGGACGAGAGGGTTGTTGCTGATTAAGAAGGGAGAATGCAGGGCAGAACAGATTTACATAGTCTATCACCACCTTTCTCCATTGAGAAATATTGCCCTCAGGCCATAACATTCTCCCATAGGAAAATATTGCCTGTACTATTTTTCTAGGAGAGGAGGAGTGTGACAAATTCATTCCACCCATAAATGGGGGAAAACACATCACCAGCTAATAATAATAATAATAATAATAATAATAATAATAATAATAATTTATACCCCACCCACCCGGCTGGTTTTCCCCAGCCACTCTGGGTGGCTGCCAACAGATTAAAAACAGAATAAAAACCACACATTAAAAATTTCCCCAAACAGGGCTGCCTTCAGATGTCTTCTAAAAGTCAAATAGTTGTTTATGTCATTGACATCTGATGGGAGGGCGCCACTACCGAGAAGGCCCTTTGCCTGGTTCTAGGGGTACTCTCCTCAAATCCATTGGCTATGTAGCTACAAAATGATCACACAGCCCTCGAGGGTGGGGGGAGGAATTGATTACTTTTATCCCTTATCCTTCATCCTGCAATCCCTTCCCTCCAAAGAGGCCTGAACAGTTTACAAGACTCCTGTAAAATTGGAGAACTCCTCTTAAAGATGGGGATACACAGCAACATGGTGTTAAGCCTCACTAATTTTTTATTTGTTAGCTCTTTGAGAAATAATATACATGGTAGGAAAGCCTAAGCATTATTAATATAACAGGGTTTTACTGTATCTTGGCAAAGTCTTCCCTTGGATATTAGGGATACAGGAGTAAAATGTCCATCACTTAAGGAGAAAAAATTCACCTTTCCCTTGCTAAAATGTCTATTACATACTATAACTTGTACCAGATTAGTAATTCAAAGTGTGTTTAAATAGGATTAGAAATTGCATGTTTGTCATTGTTATTTGGTTATATTTCCTAGCCATGTGTAGTATTGATTCACCTTTATTACAGAATCTATTTGAAAGCACAGCTATGGATTTTTGATATTTGTTTAGTTTTCGGTAGGGAAAAATGGGTGAATGTGTTTAAGCAAAGCATTCTTCCATAGCTTTCTCTCACACTAAAATTAATCTTTCTAAAGCAGATGAAAATTAGCATTTTGGTTTGGTTCAGACTACTAATTTTCCAGTCATCTTGACAATGATAATGTGAGACTCAACTTTGTGTTTTGTACCTTTATAAAATGTTTGTCCTGCTCCTGGGATATGTCAGTTGTTGCATTGCTTCTATTCCACCTCCAGAAACTGTTCACTTGGAAGGAAACTGATTCTCTTTTGTCTGGTATGTCTCAAATTGTTGGATGAAATGTTTTTCATCTCCTGTTATTTATTTATTAACAGCCTCATACTCATCTTTGCTTGGGAATTCTAAGAAACAAAAAAATGCGGCTCTGGAAGATTTAGTCCACCATATTGATGCAAAATGGCATCCAATTTTATCCAAACATAGATGAAAACCTGCTCCTTTATCTCAGGAACTTTCATGCAATATTTAGTAATGATACCTTAACAACAACAAATTTCCAAACTATAAAGCGGATTTGTCTGTTTATTCCTCCAATCTGTAGAACATCCATCATGCCATTGTGCTCCCAGGGCAGTTTCTAAAAATACACAAGCAGTAATAATGCATAAAATTATTGAGACAAATCCTATTTTTTCAGTGCTTTGCAGTGCATTTCTCCAGAAGATACACATATTAACCATAAAATGCACATTTTTGTGCACACTTGTTGCACACTACTTTGCAAATTCCAGAGATGTGTGAAATCTGATCAGGCGCTGAGTTCCAATCTGCAAGCAAGTTTGGAATTGTCAAATTGGATCGGTCGGCTGCAAAAAATGCAGACAATGAATGCTTCTTCCTTTCCTATCCCTAGCAAAGACTTGAGCAGTGGTTCCTGAGTCTTGGACTCCAGGGATATAAAAGAAAATAACTTAAAATAAGCATTGGAACTGTGTTGCAAACAGAGCACACAGTTGGTGCCCCTCTGCGGACAGAAGGCTTTTTGATCCAAGGGAGCGGAAGAGGGATTGAGTCAATCTTTGCCAATCCACCTTCCACTGATTTGTAAGAGCTGGCCTTGACACCAGACTTCTGGATGGGATGGGCAGGTTAAATGGGGGGAAAATGTGAGTGATTTATTTCATGGGGGGGTTGAGTTTTTGTTAATGTTGCTCACTAGCATTTATATGGCTAGTATGTGTGTCCCCCCCAGGATGTTAGCTTATATGAAATATTAATGTATTATATGGTTTCCCTTCTTTCCCCCCTATGGTATTATGTACTAAAGGTACATATCATGGGTGGTGCTGTGGTCTAAACCACTGAGCCTCTTGCGCTTGCTAATCAGAAGGTCGGCAGTTTGAATCCCCGTGACGGAGTGAGCTCCCGTTGCTCTGTCCCAGCTCCTGCCAACCTAGAAGTTCGAAAGCATGCCAGCGGAAGTAGATAAATAGGAACCGCTGCAGCAGGAAGGTAAACAGTGTTTCTGTGCACTCTGGTTTCTGTCATGGTGTTCTGTTGCACCAGAAGTGGTTTAGTCCTGCTGGCCACATGACCTGGAAAGCTGTCTGTGGACAAACGCCGGCTCCCTTGGCTTGAAAGCGAGATGAGCACCACAACCCCATAGTCGCCTTTGACTGGACTTAACCATCCAGGGGTCCTTTACCTTTACCTATTATGTACTGTACAGTGGTACCTCGGGTTACATATGCTTCAGGTTACAGACAGCAACATGGTGTTAAGTCTCACTAATTTTTTATTTGTTAGCTCTTTGAGAAATAATTTACATGGAAGGAAAGCCTAAGCATTATTAATATAACAGGGTTTTACTGTACAGTGGTACCTCGGGTTACATACGCTTCAGGTTACATACGCTTCAGGTTACAGACTCCGCTAACCCAGAAATTGTACCTCAGGTTAAGAATTTTGGTTCAGGATGAGAACAGAAATCATGCTCCGGCAGCGCGGCAGCAGCAGGAGGCCCCATTAGCTAAAGTGGTGCTTCAGGTTAAGAACAGACCTCCAGAACGAATTAAGTTCTTAACCCGAGGTACCACAGTATATTGCCGTAAGTCACTAGGAGACCTTCAGGTGACAAGCAACTAATAAGTTTAATAAAGAATAATAAAGAATACAGACACAGCTGTTCTAGAACATTGAGGAAGTCCAAAAGCCGGTCACAAAAATTTCCTCAGTAGTATAACGGTTGAGGAGGGCCCTCAATGCTTGTTGCACCACCAATAATCTGACAAGTACAGAGCTTTTGAACGGATTCAAAGTGATGTTTCTCATTCACACATGCAAATTCCCACACTTGATTTTCCTGCCATCCATTAATCAACACGTTCTGTGTGAATGTGCCCTAACAGCCTGATCCCAATGAGGTAAAAATGGAATCAGGCTTACTCCAAGGAAGTCTGCATAGGATTGCTGCCTGTAAATCTACTTAGCTGAAGAAGTGGGAAAGGAATTAGGTGAGAACAGCTCCAATGCATAAAAATAGTGTAATTCTTTAAAAGTCAATAAGACACTCTCCTTTATTTAAGAAGTGAGAAATATTTTTCAACGGCAGAATGCTTCAAACAATTCTACCTATTAAAAAGCCATTAAACCCGGGGAGGCACAGAAGCATATCCACAACAGCTGTTCTGAGGAAATACTTTGTATTACGAACTATTATTGGAAACTGAAGGTCAAGTAGAACAACACTGTTCACATGAAGTTGTTTTCCTTTTTGTTCCACCTCTCCCTCTCTCACACAAAATGAACAAGACTTTATTCTTTTAAAATGCATCAGATGAAGGGAACATCAGGGAATACACAGTTGAGGCAAAGTCAGTGTGACTTTAATTTTGAGGATTGATGGCGGAATAGAAAACGACTTAACACAAAATCCATATAACACACTTCCCTATGGATATATATCATCTGAAAAATGGGGAAGGGGGGGTGAGATTCCCCCAGTATGAAGGGGACATGAAAATGAATGCTATCATTTAGTTTAGTTATATAACCTAATGGCTTAAAGTGTGGAGCCTGTGGGTTTGGCTAAGGAAGCACTTCTGATCATAATTCAGGAAGTCAGGTTGCTACCAGCTCCTTTTAGGGAGGTTCAGCTGAAGCCTTCATTATACACGTTTAGGTGTTAGAATTCCTGCTCCATGACTGCAGTCGTGGGAATTTTTGTCTAGCACAGGACGGTATATGTTTTGACTCTACAGAGTGGGAAGTGACGGAGACAGGATGTTTGTGTTACTGTGTTCCGTGAAGTGGGACTATTGTCCATTGTCCTTTTTCTCTTTGCTGTCTGATGCTAGAGAGAGAGGGAGCCACGTTGCAGTGCTCCATGTGTGTTTATATGTAAATAAAGTAGATTAGCCAAAATGCTGAGTTGCTGAGGTCTGTCACGCAAACTGTGCAGACTCTGCGGATTCCTAAGTGTGCCGGTGTCTGTTGGCATCGATCACTGTGATGTTCAGGCAGAAGAAAGCTTTTGAAGCTCCTGAACAACTGACCAGGAGGGAGAGAACATGCCAGTCGTGTATGTGTCTTTACCAGGGTCCTACTCGAGTGTAGGACAAGCTCCTGACATTAGGCACCTGGCAAAGGTGTTCCTCTTTAACCAGGTCTTTGGCTGATTGACACCTAGTGCCATTTTAAAATGTGTTGGAGAGGGGGGCAGTTTACTTGGTTGTTTTTGTTTTCCATTTTATTAATTTAATATTATGCATTTTGTGTTTTTATATTGTGATTTTATGTTTTAACTGCCCTGAGACTTGTGGGTATATGGTGGTATACAAATAATAATAATAATAATAATAATAATAATAATAATACAACCAATCACCCCCCACTAAGCCCAGTATGGATTTCATTGCATCAAGGCATTTCCCCCTCCTTCTCACTGATTCTATGGCAATGGTGATCTTGGGCGTTGCGCTGGGCCCAAAACCTAGCCTCCAATTTCTCTCATGAAAGAGGATTCTGTTTTTCTGACAGACTCACATGGCAGTTTAGAATTTCCTTTCAATTCTGTGAGTCACAAGGGCTGTCCCAGAACACTAAAGGTCTCATGCTTCTAAAACTGTTGAAATGGCAGGAACATGGGGAAGAGGTGATGCATTGGTGAGACTCCCTATCGTCCTCTCCTTCTCTCCCCTATAATGGCAGAGCTTGTAATTGGCTGATACTCTTTTAGTGATAAGGACCTGGTAGTTTGAGGGCTACCTGACCTGGGCAGTTTCTTAGGCCTGCTGTTTCAGTTATGGCAGAAGGTCTTAGAGGCTCCTCTGAATCTTTATTAAAATGTTTCCCATTGTTGGTGTCTGTTCTTGGGCCAATAAACTGTTCATCCTCTATGCCTTCCTGTCCACTGATACCTCTTCCTGAAAATCCCCACTGCTTTCCTTTTCTCCTTGGGGAGGCATCAGCTCAGAGTTTTGCAGGGGTTGATCTCAGAGGGGCTACATTTGCCCTGCAGGCATGTGTTTATGCATATCTAAATGCATCACCCATCCCAAAGACTCAGGTGGGCTTTTACCTGCTCCGCTTCCTTGCGTTGTTGCTTTCCTGAATTAATTTCTGAATCTTATATCCAGGCTGGAATGAGAAGAACAAGAGGAGAAGGAAGAAAGAACACTCCCCCCATAAAACTCCACACTTACCCTGGGCTTTGATGTATGTTATATGTAAAATAACTGGACTTGTTCTGTACTACAAGCAAGTTATCAGTTATGACCACCGAAGCATGAGGTAGCTGCTGAGCGTCAAAATCCCTTTCCATGCTTGCATGTGTTCGCATTGACAGCTTGGCACCTAACAAAAGACAAGTAGGCAAGCTTCAAATTAGACCATTTGTTCCCCTTTATTAACGAAGCAAAATAAAAGCCCCCACTGGCAGGCTGCCTGTATAAGCTGTCCCTTCAGCACCACATAGCATAGGCATTAATTAAACCAGTGACTTCCCCCTACCCTCTCTCTGTAATAAGATGCAATGATGCAAGTTAAAGTGAATTTTCTATAAAGCTGACCCTCGCCCTGGTATTTCTAAGACATTGCGATTTGCATTATCGATTTTGTTAAATGAAGAGAGGGAGAAAAAGTTAGCTACTTGTGGTCACCTTGACTAAATGTCAAAGTCCTTAGAATGCCACTGACAAGAGAGAGAGACTTTATTTTCGAATTCTGCATGCATTCAAGCTAAATGAAACCACTGGGATCAAAACAAAGTCCCAGATCATATTGCATTGTGATGCTAGTATATTTTTAAAACCTTCGTTTACTGTGGACATACCAATTATCTACACCAGAAGTTACTTTTGCAGTTGTTTCTCTTTCCCCAGCAAACTGCGAAATTATATTTCTGTCAGCATATTCATAGCACCTGCTTCATACAACAATTCACAGGATAGTTTGAGGAAGCCATGACAGCAAACTGGTGTTTGTTGAATTTCTCTCTTGCCTCCTTCCAAGAAGCTCAGGGCAGAATACATGGTTGTTTCACTGAAACCTGGTGCAGTAGGTTAGGCTGAGAGACTGTGATGAGCCAGAAAGTTTTATGTCTGAGTCAGGATTTGAGCCCAGATCTCCACAGTCCTAAGCCAGCACTCTGTGCCATTAGCCTGTAGCAAAGATGGACAATGTAGTGCTATTTAGATACTGCTGGGTTACATCTCCCATCTTCTCTAATCATTGTCCATACTGGTTAGGGCCAAAGGACCTTGATTTTAGTTTTACTCCTCTTTGAACTGGCGCACCCTATGCTGTAAATGTATTGTTCTACATGTAAAAGGGGCACGGGTGGTGCTGTGGTCTAAGCCACTGAGCCACTTGGGCTTGCCGATCGGAAGGTTGGCGGTTTGAATCCCCATGACAGGTTGAGCTCCCGTTGCTCTGTCCCAGCTCCTGCCAACCTAGCAGTTCGAAAGCATGCCAGTACAAGTAGATAAATAGGTACCACTGCACTCTGGTTTCCGTCACAGTGTTTCTTCTGTTGTGCCAGAAGTGGTTCAGTCATGCTGGCCACATGACCTAGAAAGCTGTCTGTGGACAAACACCAGCTCCCTCGGCCTAAAAGTGAGATGAGTGCGGCAACCCCAAAGTTGCCTTTGACTGAACTTAACCATTCAGGGGTCCTTTATCTTTCTTTTTTACCACTTCCGCAGGTGGCACTGTGGGTTAAACCACAGAGCCTAGGACTTGCGGATCAGAAGGTCAGTGGTTCGAATCGCTGCGACAGGGTGAGCTCCCTTTGCTCGGTCCCTGCTCCTGCCAACCTAGCAGTTCAAAAGCACATCAAAGTGCAAGTAGATAAATAGGCACTGCTCCAGCGGGAAGGTAAACCGCATTTCCGTGCGCTGCTCTGGTTCACCAGAAGTGGCTTAGTCATGCTGGCCACATGACCTGGAAGCTGTACGCCGGCTCCCTCGGCCAATAAAGCGAGATAAGCACCACAACCCTAGAGTCGGCCATGACTGGACCTAATGGTCAGGGGTCCCTTTACCTTTACCTAGAACAAATGCAGATTGTTGTTTTTTTTATAAGATATTTATTGAAATTTTCCAAATGTAAATATAAAAATGACAAAAAAGAAAAGAAAAAAAAGAAAAGATACAAAATATAAAATAAAAATGATTTAAAAAAAAACCACTCAATTTTTCCATTACTTATTTTTCCTTAGCTTGTTTCCCGGACCTCCTCATACCTCCCTTTTTTGTATTCCAGTTCAATTTGTTGGTTCAGCAAATCCTTACCCTCTTTGTTTATCCTAATCTTTGGTCTTAAAATAGTAACGTTAGATTTTTACCTATTAACAACCCATTTTTCATATTCCCTTAAAGCATTACAGCTGGAAACCACTTAATTTCTATCCAACATCATTCTAACATTCATTAATTTTACAATATTTCTGTAGATAGTCTTTGAATTTCTTCCAATCTTCTTCCACCGACTCTTCTCCCTGGTCTCAGATTCTGCCAGTCATTTCTGCCAGTTCCATATAGTCCATCAGCTTCATCTGCCATTCTTCCAGAGTGGGTAGATCTTGTGTCTTCCAATACTTTGCAATGAGTATTCTTGCTGCTGTTGTGGCATACATAAAAGTTCTGTCCTTCTTTGGCACCAATTGGCCGACTATGCCTAGGAGAAAGGCCTCTGGTTTCTTCAAGAAGGTATATTTAAATACCTTTTTCAATTCATTATATATCATCTCCCAGAAAGCCTTAATCCTTGGGCACGTCCACCAAAGGTGAAAGAATGTACCTTCAGTTTCTTTACATTTCCAGCATTTATTATCGGGCAAATGATAAATTTTTGCAAGCTTGACTGGGGTCATGTACCACCTGTATATCATTTTCATAATATTCTCTCTTAAGGCATTACATGCCGTAAACTTCATACCTGTGGTCCATAACTGTTCCCAGTCAGCCATCATTATGTTATGTCCAACATCTTGTGCCCATTTAATCATAGCAGATTTCACCGTTTCATCCTGAGTATTCCATTTCAACAGCAAGTTATACATCTTTGACAAAATCTTAGTTTTGGGTTCTAACAGTTCTGTTTCTAATTTTGATTTTTCCACCTGGAAGCCAATTTTCTTGTCCAAATTATATGCCTCCATTATCTGATAATAATGAAGCCAATCTCGCACTTTGTTTTTTAATTTCTCAAAACTCTGCAATTTCAGTCTATCTCCGTCTTGTTCCAAAATTTCCCAATATTTCGGCCATTTGGCCTCCATATTGAGCTTTTTCAGAGCTTTTGCTTCCATCGGTGACAGCCACCTTGGAGTTTTATTTTCCAATAAGTCCTTGTATCTTATCCAGACATTAAACAATGCTTTCCTGACAATGTGGTTTTTAAATGCTTTATGTGCTTTGACCTTATCATACCACAGATATGCATGCCATCCAAATACATTGTTGAACCCTTCTAGATCCAAAATGTCAGTGTTTTCAAGAAGCAACCATTCTTTCAACCAGCAAAAAGCTGCTGATTCATAGTAAAGTTTAAAGTCTGGCAGGGCAAATCCACCTCGTTCCTTTGCATCTGTTAATATTTTAAATTTTATTCTAGGCTTCTTGCCCTGCCAGACAAATTTAGAAATATCTCTCTGCCACCTCTTGAAACAGTCCATTTTGTCCACAATTTGCAGTGTTTGAAACAAAAACAACATTCTAGGCAATACATTCATTTTTACTGCAGCAATACGGCCCAGCAGTGAAAGCTTCAAATTTGACCAAATTTCTAAATCTTTTTTCACTTCAGCCCAGCATTTTTCATAGTTGTCTTTAAATAAATTCCCATTTTTGCTGTCATGTTAATCCCCAAGTATTTAACTTTCTTAACCACTGTTAAACCTGTCTCATTCTGAAACCTCTCTCTCCATTGGTGTTAAATTTTTCTCTAAAACCTTGGTCTTTAACTTATTCAACTTAAATCCTGCAACTTGACCAAATTCTTGAATCAGTTCTAAAACTCTTTTGGTACTAGATTCTGGCTCCTGTAACGTCAATACTAAGTCATCTGCAAATGCTCTCAATTTGTACTGTTTGGCTCCGACCTGTATACCTTTAACCAACCGGTCCCTTCTAATCATGTTCAGCAGAACCTCCAGGACCGATATAAAAGCAATGGGGAAATTGGGCAACCTTGTCTTGTCCCTTTTTCTATCCTAAATTCTTCCGTCACCACATTATTTACAATTAGTTTAGCCTTTTGTTCTGAATAAATTGCACTTATACCGTTTTCAAAACCTTGGCCTACCCCCATCCCCTGTAGGTTCTTCTTCATAAAACTCCAAGAGATATTGTCAAAAGCTTTCTCCGCGTCCACAAATATCAAAACTGCTTTAGTATTTATGTTCACTTCTAGTTTTTCCAAAATATCAATTATATTCCTCAAATTATCGGACAAGTGTCTTCCCGGGAGAAAGCCCGCTTGGTCTTTATGAATCTCTTCCATCAATACTTTTTTCAATCTCTTGGCCAAAATGTCTGCAAAAATTTTGTAATCCACATTAAGTAACGATATGGGGCGGTAGTTCTTAAGCTGAGTCTTTTCAGTCTCTGTCTTCGGTATAAGTGTAATGTACGCCTCTTTCCAAGACTCTGGTGCCCTTTTCCCTCCAATATTTCATTGCAGACTTCCTTTAAAGGTTGTAATAACCACTCTTTCAAAGATCTATAATATCTAGAAGTCAGCCCATCCGGTCCTGGAGATTTGCCTAATTGCATGTTTTGAATGGCACCTTCTACTTCCTGTTCAGATATTTTATAGTTCAACATTAATTTACTTTCTTGGGATATTTTTTGTAATCCATTTGTCTTCAGAAATTGGTCTATATCCATTTCTTTCTGTGGCCCTTGTGTATATAGTTGTTTAAAATACCTCTGGAAACAGTTTCTAATCTCAGTTGGGTTATGTATATTCTTTCCTTCCACTTCTAAATTTGTAATAGTATTTAATTTTTGTCTTTTTTTCATTTGCCAGGCCAGCAATTTCCCACATTTGTTAGCTGATTCAAATGTTTTTTGTCTCATTTGTTTAATTTTCCATTCTATTTCCTGATTCATCATTTCCATATATTGTACTTGATATAACTTTATTTCTCTCAAAATCTCCTGCGACTTTGGTTTTGCTCTCAATTTCTTTTCACTTTCTTTTATTTTCCCCAAAATTTTATCTTTCTTCTCATTTTGACTTCTCTTCTTTATTGCATTCTGTTGTATCAGAAACCCTCTCATGACAGCTTTACTTGCGTCCCAGATTACTCTTTTTTCTACATTAGTATTCATATTTATTTCAAAATAGTCTCTCAAGGTTTTTTGGGCCTTTTTATACACTTCTTCATCTCTAAATAGGGTGTCATTCATCCTCCATCTGAAGGAGCCAGTTGATGTTAGTTTCAACTCCATCCTTACCGCATTATGGTCGGAGCAGGTTTTTGGGCAGATTTCCACTTTCTTTATCTTTGGTGCCATTCCTCTAGTTACCCATATTTGGTCAATTCTAGTCCATGTCATCTTAGCTTCAGAAAAGAAGGTTCCCTCTCTTCCCAAGGGGTTCTTTGTTCTCCAAGTGTCCACTAAGTCAAAATTGTCTGTCATCTCGAAAAATGTTTTCGGTAGTCTACCATCCTTGGTAACTACCTGTCTTTGTGCCTTATCCATGTTTGTAGATACTACTCCATTCATATCCCCATCAAAATCAGATTGTAATCCAAATAATCCAATAAAGTCTCATGCAACTTTTTAAAAAATTCAGATTTCCCCTCATTCGGTGCATAAATTCCTACTATCAAAAATTTCTCTCCTTGAACTTGAATTTCAATTGCCAAAAATCTTCCTTGGTCATCTTTGAAAATAAATTTCGGTGATAGTCTCTCCTTTGCATATATCACAACTCCTCTTTTTTTAACTTTGTCAGATGAGATAAACTCCTGTCCCAATCTCTTATTAATCAGTAGTTTCCTGTGTAACCTTGTTACATGTGTTTCTTGTAGACAAATCAAGTCCAATTGTTCCTTTTTAGTAAATGAAAAACACTTTTTCTCTTCCAAGGAGAATTCAAACCATTACAATTCCAACTTAACAGTTGCAGAGCCATGATGGGGTTACTTCGCTTTGCCTCCAACTGCGCCAAGTGTCTGTTCTTGTTCTGTCAGTGGTGTCGCTTTCTCTAGACCATGCAATCCAAAAGATAAGTTTGCTATATCTAGTATTCCTTTTTCCAGTGCTTTTGGCTCTTCTCCGGATTCCACTTCTTTCTGTAGATCTTCTCCGTGATCCTTCAGAAACCTATCTTTGTCATTGACTGATCTTATTTTTATCTTTCTTCCTTTATATTTAAAGGACAGGCCTTGAGGGAATTCCCACCTAAAGATAATTCTATTTCTTCTCAGCAGGGCAACCAGATCTCCGTAGTTGAGCCTTAAGTCCAAAAGGTGTTTTGGAATGTCCTTGAATATCTCCACACTTGAGTCGTAAATTTCCAAAGTCTTTTGGTAATGCAGATTCAAGATTTTGTCTCTCTCCTCTTTTGTTCGAAGGGTAATCAAGCAGTCTCTCACCTTGTTCCTCCTTCCTCCTCTTCCAAGTCTAAATGCACTCACTGTCTTAAATTCTTGAACAAATGCAGATTGTGTGCAGCTGTATGTAAGGGGAGGGGGGGATGTGGTGTGAGCTTCTGCTCATGTGTCGATCCCACATGATTGGGACACCAATCACTTTAGGTGTCCCCCATCCTTTGACTATCCAGCACAGGAGCTGGACATCACAGACTGAAGTTTCCTTATAGGCAAGTGTGGACAATGCATAGTGGAATCCACACACGAAGTAGAGCTGGCACCAGGCGTGGATCTAAAAACATGGCATCAAAGCCACCCACCCCAGTTGCCCTATATGTGGATAAGACATGAACAAGTTTCAATCCTGAGATTGTAATCTGTTTTAACTGTGTGTGTTTTTTGTTTGTTTTTGTTTTTGTTTTCATTTTATTTTTTATTTTCAATGCAAAATTACCACAAAAATTACAAACATTGAATCCCAAATAAAACAGTACAAACAAGAAAAGGAAAAGGAAAAATAACATAAAAGAAAAAAGAACAAAAAACAAAAAAATACACATCTACAAATAAAACCATATCATCAGTCTAATCTAGTCATTACATACATATACACATATTGCCTCCTCATTGATCAGCAGTGGGGATGCATATATTGACCATAAGAGGAAGGCAAGCGAAGTCATTTGAGAATGAAGCAAGAAGAAGAAGAAGAAAACATAAATTAATTAAAATGAACCCCATAAAACTATCAAAGATGGGAGAGCCTCCTTGATGCTGCTAAAATATGAAATAATACAAGTGGCTTGAGCTCATCAAACCAGTCTGTCCAAAAAATCAAAACTTGTTTCAGCTTGTTTGAAGCTTTCCTACCACAGCAAGTCTTATTCGGTTATGTGTGTGTAGACAGCACCCACCTTAATTCTAATCTCAAAAAAGGCTTTTTGAGTTTAGCAAAGTCATATCAGCTTCATGCTGCAGTAAGAGCAATTGCTTTGGGGAGGCCTTTGCCTGCTACAGATGTGCTATTGCTTAGTGACTCAAAGAGGATCAAACCAGCTCCAAGAGAATCACGGAGGGAATACATCATCTGATATGTGAAGTGTTTACAATAAGCTGAGCAGCAGGGAAGTGACCTATTATGAAGCATCTAAAACAGAATGTTGACTTATTTGTTCCTTCGCATCTGTCCCTTGAGGTAGCACCTAAATCCTACTGTTATTTATTTAGGAAGTTTTTCTTTCTGCGTCAGGCAGAGGCTTTCTTTCTCTTCAGTTTGGTTCCAGCTGTGACAACTCTCATGGAGAAACTAATTCAACTCCTAGTGGGCGTATGATCCTGTGGTATGTCTGCAGGTGGTTGTGTTACAAAGGCAAAGACAAAACCAACTCAGAGCTGGTTTGCAGCTCAATCATGAACACATTTTCCCCCCTGCAATGCATGCAGGAAAACAATGGATAGATAACATGCCCCTTGTGTGAAAATAGTATGACGTCTGGTTTGCTACAATGCCTCACCTGTTGGGAAGCTCCTCTGCTATCATTTCAAATGGCCAGCCATACTTATTCAGTATATTTCAACAGAAAGAAGAGTTTGGATTTGATATCCTGCTTTATCACTACCCTGAGTCTCAAAGCGGCTAACATTCTCCTCTCCCTTCCTCCCCCACAACAAACACTCTGTGAGGTGAGTGGGGCTGAGAGACTTCAGAGAAGTGTGACTGGCCCAAGGTCACCCAGCAGCTGCATGTGGAGGAGCGGAGATGCGAACCCGGTTCCCCAGATTACGAGTCCACTGCTCCTAACCACTACACCACACTGGATAAAGGGATGGCATGGTGTGACAGCATGGGCTGCAGCTTGAACCATGAGGGGAAAGGAAGGCAACAACAACAACTAAACAACAATTCTTGCCACTGCCACCAAGCAGATATCTCCTCTCCATCCTTGGTTGCCTCCACTACAAATCATGTTGAACTTTTGGACATTTACTGGCTCCTTGTATTGGGTTGAGTGGCAGAGCACCTAGTTGTGAGGTGAGTAACAATGGCTCAGACCTTCACTCCCCCTCCCCCCAAAAACCCCAATCTGTATTTTTACTTTTTCGCAAGGCAACAAGTTAAACCATTTTTAAGCAGGGGGGGGGGGGGCTTTGCCGTTTGATTCATTACCCACTAGAACAAATAATACCTACACATTTTCTAGACTATTTCCCTAACCCTGGTTCCCTAACCCTAGACTACAAACCCCTAACTTTGTAGCTGATTAATTCATCTACCAAACGGAGCATCCCACTGATGCAAACTGCCAGCTGACTCTCCCCCCCCCCCAATTCTTGGTTCACAGTGTAAAATGCGGAGGTGATACAATAAGGTGCCCAACTTCTGACAGGTGTGCCCTGTTCCTTTTGGATTACTCTGTCAAGTACTGCGGGGGGGGGGGGGATGAGAGAAAATGTCAAATTCCCCTAGGGAAAAGCAGCATTGGCCTCAGGGCCGTTTTAAGCATATGCGGTGCCGGGGTGCAAAGATCTGCCTGGTGACCCCATAAAGTTGTTGACCTTTTTTAGGGCGGGCTGGCGAGGCATGCACGGCAGAGCTGGCCTGGCTGGCTGCCTCAGCAGCAAAGGAGGAGCCTGAGGTGGCAGCAGAGCAAGGCTGGGGCCGGGTGCTTGGGGGGGGGCAAGCAGAGCCCAGCGCAACAACAGTCAAGTTTGAGGCTCGTGTGAGCAGCGTATGCTGGGTGGGCCTCTTGATGGCCTGCAAATCCCAGGCATGTAGGAGGGTGCTGGGAAGTTTTTCCCATTGAGTTCATGAAACAGTGTACCCTGACCTGTTCTTAATGCATTGCTGACCACATCTACGGAACGTGATTGTTGTATTCTTTCATGTTATGTTCTTTCAAGTCATGTTATATTAATCTTTAGTTATAATTTAATTAGGAGGTTTCATGCCTGTCTAGTTCCAGCTCCGTTTCCCAGCCTTTAATCTATCAGTGATAAATGGTTATATGTAATTCCCGCCTTGTACCTATGTTAACCAATCAGCAACAAGTTGCTTTGTGTTTGTATCAACCAATCAGCCACAAGCACACCTGTGGCAATGTTTGTAATATTCAATAAAAGAGAGTTCCCGGGGCTCGCCCCGGCAGATGCCTCTCATATGACACCTGCCACTCGTCTGTCATGAATTCGTTCCAACAGGAGGGTGGAGCAGAAGAGTTGTGGTGCTCCGCGAGGCTCTGTTCCACTTGGCAGCGGCTGTCGGCTCTTCCCAATCCCTGAACTCCAAATCTCGGCCCCAGACTCTCAGCCCGGCGCCCCTGAGAGCCCAGGACCCGGGTGCCCTGCACCCCTAGCACCTATGGGTAAGACGGCCCTGGTTGGCCTCTTTAGATGCCTTCCATCTGCCAGCATCATCATATTGTTCCTGCAGTTCTGGAACCCCGAGAAACTTGAAGAAGAAATAAATTGGGAGAGAAAAATCTTTCTTGACCTGTGACCTTTCTACTTTCCTCTTCTGATAGCTCTCCCTGCTCAGGGAAAGAGGTCTAGTCAGATCCTGAGTCAGTGCCAGACCTGTGAGAAAGGAGTGTGCTCCCCTTCTCCCCCCGTTGCCAAGAGACAGAAGGTGATGGTGACTATGAGGTCACTTCATTTTCCTTCTTTGAAAAAGGCTCTAGAGCCAGATAATTCCTCATTATGATGTAATCCAGAAAGAGGGTGAGACCAGTGCTTTTGTGTCCCATGAATCTGCCACTGCAGATTGTATGATGGTGACTTACTCATATTACATTTCTTATATCTTTTCCTCTCAGGATGTCATTGGGGTAGCCCACCAGTAGCTGCTTCCTTTACAATGACTTTCCTGGTCTATTCCATTTCTGGTCCATGGCAGGAACTTTATATGGACTCCCTCTCCTAGGCATATAAAGTTCAGAAGAAGAGATGTCCCCCCCAAGCAAGGAACCATAGGAGCCAACTCCTAGAGGCCGTGAGGGATTTGGCCCCCCACAATAAAGTATTTGAGGGGGCTGGGCCCCCACAAAGTTGATGGGCATTCCCATTCAAATGGGGTGTGTGTGCACTGTGTCACGTGATCAGTTATGTGGGGCAGGGCTTATCTGGGCCCTGACCATATGTTTTTCAAGTTGGCACTGCAAGGAACTGATATGACTCACTGCCTAAGGGGAGAGAGCTTGTCTACACAGGGTCTCTGACTCCGTTGTGGCTGCAAAAGGCAAGGCGCATTGGTGAGGCAGTATTGGTGGGACAGAGCTGACCCTGTGGTGGCAAAGATGCTTTCCTGACTTGGTGTCCTTCAGACCTTGTCTCTACTCCCAGTCCAATATGGGTGGGGAGAAGAAGACTCAGCTCTGCTGTGGCTGACCTGAAGTGTGTCCAACTGTTTGGGCTAGCTTTTCACTCCATGAGGTAAGGAACAGCTCCAGTCCAGGGGTCTGCTGGGAAGCACTTGATGTTCCTGAGGCATGGGCATGCTGTTCTTCCTTGTGGAGTCTGTCTGCTTGTTCCAGGTAACCAGGGACGTCTTTCCCATTGGGCGTAGTGGCGCGGTGAGCCAGGGCGCCAAGCAGTGGAGGGCGCCAGGTAGAGAAGCCGGGGAGGGGAGAGCAGGGAGGTAAGTGAGGCAGAGCAGGGGCTTGGTGCCTGCGCGCCTCCAGTGCCCGTCGGAGGCGGGGAAGGCTCCAGATGCTTTCCCGCAGTCCAGAGCTCTCTCCGCTGGCTCCATAACACACCACCTCCTCAGCTGTGTGGTGTGTGCTTGCATCCCAAGCTCTTCGCATAATAAATGTGACTCTACCAATCCTCCCCCGTCCACTCTACCTCAAAAGATCCCCACGCTCAAGGCTACACGCTGCAACTGCTGCCCCCAGTGCCCCTCCCTCCTTCCCCTGCTTCTCCACTGCCTTGCACAGAGCCTGCCTCCTCCCGCTGCCCCAACAACCTCTGCACTCCTTCACACAAACGTGTTTCCTTCCCCTCCCCGATCTCCTCCCAGTCACGCTCTCTCCTCCCTCCTCCTTCCTCCCCAAGCAAGGATGGCGAGACTGCGGCTGAGTGAGCGCATTTCTCTGCTGCGGCGATGCGGGCAGTCCAGCTTGCTTCACCTGTCCCTGCCCGGGCGAGACCCCTGCCTGCCCCCCATGCCATCCCCTTCATGCCCGCCTGCACAGCCCCACCCCATGATTCTGCTGTGGGAGCCAATGCGGGAGCAGCATGGGGCAGCAGCGAGAGAGGGCAGGAGCAGCCTTTCCTAAAAAAGGTCAACAACTTTGGGGTCCCTCCCTTAAAACAGCTTGACAACTCTAGGAAACGGGGGGTGGGGTGGACCGGAGTGATTTTTGCTCCATGGCACTGGATATCCTTAAGACGGCCCTGTAGGTAACCCTAGTTCGTTCAGTTCAGCAGTCTTGTGGTGTGGTGGAAATCTAAGCTGAGAAGCCTAAAACAATGCTCTTGTTTCTTAGCCCCAAACCAGGTGAAAATTGTTCCATTCCCTAGTTAGGGAAAGGAGAAGAGGGAAGGCATGCAGCGGGAAACCAAAAAGCAGGGAGAAATAACTTTGGCATCAACAGCTTGAGGATTTGCTCCACCGCAGTCCTGCTAACTGCAAGCCAGACAGGTCCTGTCTGAGGCTGCCAGTCCTGTCGTTCCGCCAGAGGAGGTTCTTCCAAAAGTAGAAGACCACTCCAATCTGGAGCTTCAAAACAATAGGTCTCTTGAGACTTGTTGTATCCAGGGATCTTACAATCTAAATTTTGACAGGTGGAGACCAACTGGGGGGAAATGGAAAGGGTAGAAAGGGTACAAATTAAAGTTTGGGTTTGAAACTACCACAGGTATGAAGTTTACGGCATGTAATGCCTTAAGAGAGAATATTATGAAAATGATATACAGGTGGTACATAACCCCAGTCAAGCTTGCAAAAATCTACCATTTGCCCGATAACAAATGTTGGAAATGTAAAGAAACTGAAGGTACATTCTTTCACCTTTGGTGGACGTGCCCAAGGCTTAAGGTTTTCTGGGAGATGATTTATAATGAATTAAAAAAGGTATTTAAATATACCTTCTTGAAGAAACCAGAGGCCTTCCTCCTGGGCATAGTTGGCCAATCGGTGTTAAAGAAGGACAGAACTTTTTTTATGTATGCTACAACAGCAGCAAGAATACTTATTGCAAAGCATTGGAAGACACAAGATCTACCCACACTGGAAGAATGGCAGATGAAAATGATGGACTACATGGAATTGGCGGAAATGACTGGCAGAATCCGAGACCAGGGAGAAGAGTCGGTGGAAGAAGATTGGAAGAAATTTAAAGACTATTTACAGAAATATTGCAAAATTAATGAATGTTAGAATGATGTTGGATTGAAGTTAAGTGGTTTCTAGCTGTAATGGTATAAAAGAATATGGAAAAATTGGATTTTCAATAGGTCAAAACTTAATGCTATAATATATTAAGATTAAAGATCAGGATAAAATAAGGAGGGAAAGGAATTGCTGAACTAATAAATTGAACTGGAATACAAAAAAGGGAGGCATGAGGAGGTCCGGGAAACAAGTAAATGAAAGATAAGTGATGAAAAGATGGAATTGTTTTTAATTGTTTTTTTTTTTTGTATTTTGTATTTTTCTTTTCTCGATTTTTCTTTTTCTTATCTATGTAATCTTTTTTTGAAACCTTAATAAATATCATTTAAAAAAAAATAAAGTTTGGGTTTGAAACGAGGTTAAGGCAAAGGCTTCAGTGGAAGAGGTGGCATGAAGTTATGGTTTGAGGGAAAGAGTGGAGTGGCACCAGGTGGGTGTTTAGAGAGGCATTACCATCATAATTCCATCATAATAGGTGGAACGGGCAAAGTACTATAAGAAAAAACAATTGCCATAACCAGGTTATATTACATAAAGGCAAAGGCAAAACCACAGATGTCTTTAATATAATTCTATTAATTTGCACACTTGAGATTGCAAAGCACAAAATTGACCAGAAAGCTCAGGAACCAAGAAGACCAAAACTTTAGCAAAGAATGGGGGAAAATATATATAGTTTATCTTGCAGATGAAAACATTAGCAGGACTGCAATAGCACTTGTAATGTAGCAAGTACCACGGAGATAATGGAGTGATATAAAAAAAATGGACTATTGAATAATATGCAGTTGAAAAGGTTAACAATAGGACCCATGGAGGGGAAGGTGGGAAGTCCAGAGATTTGGAGGAATCTACAAATATTATAATTTCAGACTTGTAAAATCAAATTAAAAATATTTTTTTAAAAAAAAAGATTGCAAAGCACTTGCAAACATCTTTGAATATATTAAGGACTTTCTTTCCCCTTCTTTTTCTTCAGCAGGAAGAAATGGCCTGGCTCACACTGCCTTGTGTACGCTAAACCCTGGCTTTGGTCCACAGAAAAGCTGGAAAAGAGCTTGCATAATGTCCCAGGGTACCATATCCCAGGAAATAAACCATATTCAGAGGAGAACATTCATAATTCAGGGTGTGAAAACCTGGCAACTGCAAGAGGCTAACTTTGTGCAACACAAAGATTTCTTGGACGGCCTGGGAGGCTGGTGGGCTTGATGTCAATGCTATTGTTTTTATCTATCCAGATGCAGATTCAAGAACACAATATGCATCTGCTTTCCCAACCAACAAGGGGAGGGGGTTGATAATGGAAAGAAGACTACTACTTATGTTAAAGAATGGTTCAATTCAGGCAGATAGGAAAATGTGAACAGCCTGTACATGGAGGAAGTGTTCCGGAATCCGCAACCTGCAATTGTCCCGCTGAAGGCATTTATTCAAATTCCCTTTGAGAGGCTGTTTTGCTTTCTTTCATGACGGCTATGCCATTGTCTTCCAAGTTTAGAAAGAACTATTTGGAGGCACAGCTTATGGGGGTTTAGGTTGGTCTTTTCAATAAGCAGGGGAAGGACAAGGTGTCCATAATAATAATAATAATAATAATAATAATAATAATTTGTACCCCGCCCTCCCCAGCCAAGGCCAGGCTCAGGGCAGCTAACAACCAATAATAAAAACAAGTTGAATGAGTACAACTTAAAAACAAGATTAAAATACAACATTAAAACATTAAAAACATTAAAATGCAGCCTCATCACAGGAGGAGAAACGAAAAAAAGAAAGAGGAGGAGGGAATCAAATTGACTCCAAGCCAAAGGCCAGGCGGAACAATTTTGTCTTACAAGCCCTGCGGAAAGAAATCAGATCCTGCAGGGCCCTGGTCTCATGAGGCAGAGCGTTTCACCAGGCCAGAGCCAGTGTTGAAAAAGCCCTGGCTCTGGTTGAGGCTAATCTAACTTCCTTAGGGCCCAGGACCATTATGGTGTTGCTATTTATGGATCTTAAGGTCCTCCATGGGGCATACTGGGAGAGGCGGTCCCATAGGTACGAGGGTCCTAGGCCATGAAGGGCTATAAAGGTAAAAACCAGCACCTTAAATCTGACCCTGTACTCCACCGGGAGCCAGTGCAGCTGGAAAAGCACTGGGTGAATATGCTCCCATGACAGAGACCCCGTGAGGAGCCTCGCTGCAGCATTCTGCACCCGCTGGAGTTTCTGGGACAGCTTCAAGGGCAGCCCCGCGTAGAGCAAATTTCTTCTTCTTTTCCAAGTTCCTTTTCATATCTTCTCAAAAACTTTTTCACTTCTTGCGAGTCTGTCAGTTTAAATCTTTTGTCCTTGTAATAGAAGGAAATTCCCTCTGGGAACTCCCATCTATACTGTATTTCATTTCTTTTCAGGACATTTATTATTTGTCTGTATCCTTCCCTTTTGCGCAGGATTCTGATTGGAATTTCTTTAAAAATAATAACTGGCCGGCCTCCAATCATTAATTTTTTTTAATAGCTTGTTCTTAATATTGTGTTCTTCATTTCAATTGAGTTAAATATAACTAAACAATCGCCAGGAAGTTTTTTTGACTTAGTTTGTTGGGATTTCACTCTTATTCTGAATGCATTTTCTACCGTGTATGCTACCTGTTCTTCTTTTATCTCCAACCATTTTGCAAGTTCTTTGATCATTTTTTTCTTTTATGTTCTCATTCACTTCTTCTCCCACGCTTCTAAATTTCAAATTAAGTTGTTTCTGACGCATTTCTGCCATGGCTAAATTATCCCATATTTGATCTTGCGTTTTATTTAACTCTTTTATTTCGTCCTTTATTTTTTCTGTCTCTTTCTTTTGATCCTTCATTTCTTTTTGAATTTTTTTGTTTGTCTCTTCAATTATTTTTGACTTAACTGTCAAAGCTTGTATCTTACTAGAGAGTTCTCCTACAGTGCCTTCTATCTTTCTGTCTATCTGTTCCTGGATTTCTCCTAGTTTGCTTTCCATATGTAATTCACTTTGCTTAAATTCCTCCTTAATTTTTAACCACAAAATGTCTAAATCTTTAATTTCCTCTTGTCGGGATGCCTTTCTATCTCCTGGTGTCCCTCCTACTTTTTTCCCATTTTTCCCTGACATTTTGCGGGTATTTTCTCAATAATCAGCTTTAGTTTCCACTCTCTCCCCTAGAGGGCGCACAATCTCTCTCTTACCTTTTCTGTGTCTTTAACAGATTTTAACACGTTTACAAATCTATTTTCTTACCACTTTCCTTATATCTCCTTATTTTTCTTAATATCGTACTCCCCTTGGTTTCAATCAAAACTTCATGACCAAAAGAACAGAGAAACCCTTCAATACCCTTTAAA